TTCCTTTGGGCCTGGTCAAACACTGCAAAGGCAATATATCATAATCCTCAAATTTAAAACTCATAGTAGACATACAGTACTACAATGAGTAGGGAGGTGTGTGGATAGCTACTATTTAAAAATCCAATTTCTTGATTGACTGTTCAAATTATTGAACACATGAAGGCCACCAAGGTCAGTGTTTTAATTTTAAGTTTATTTCAGGTAGAAGAAAGGGGATTCTTGAGCAAGTGATAACGAGGGCGAGGAGAGCCAAATTTTTAAATATGGCTTTTTGTGGAGCTTTTTCGTTCACCGTGGCTCCCGCTAGTGCAGAATCGTGATGACGGTCGCTCTAGAGTGACGTCAGAATTGAATGAATTCCGTCCAGACTGAGGCGGCATGATTTGAAACACATGTGACAGTGGCCCAAATCCGAACTGGAAAAGATCAGATTCCATGTGACATGGGCTGTTCACACTGGTCTGAGTTGCATATGATTAAATCAGATTTGGGTCACTTCGGCCTGTACGTGAACTCTGAACGTGGCCAAAGTTTGAGGCGGCAAAATATTATTACACGTCTGTGGGTCTCAGCATTACACATGAATCTTCATGCAAACACTCATTCAAAACTCCACCAGTTGTTATCTATCATGCCTTATTCAAATCCATTACTCTCTTCCTGGAGTAATGCTGGAGGTCTTTTAAAAGACGTGTTTGTTTGTGTGGAAAGAGTTATAGAGTTAGAGTCATGAATCTGAAGTCAGTGCTTCTGTACACCCCACGTATGGCCTTGGGGCTACGTGGGAGCTGGCAACTACAGATGGCTAAGTATGACACTGCATTCCAGTCTATTCTCTCACACCTCCATAGAATGACTGAGTGAATGGATTACATGGGACTAGTCTTTAAAAAAGAAACACCCAGCCCCACCTAGGACTGCATCAAAACTTCAACAGGTACAGATAATGGGAGCAGTCGAGTCATGCCACATGATAACACAGAAGATTAGTTAAATGTCTGGTAGCTGTCATGCAGCAGGTACCCCCTAAACACGGCTTGACGGAGTATTAGTATGTATATGCATGTGTGCGCACGTGTTCAATCCATTGCTCATCATACATCACATTCACTTGTGTCTGGGAACTATCTGCTCGGCTTATCATTTCCCTGGAGCCTGTATGTATGAGACAGCGAGAGAGACAATGAGTCACAGTGAGACCAAAGACAGGATGACTAGATAGGAAGGACAACAAAAAGGAAACAAAAGCTAATGACTCACAACTTTAAATGTTCAGAGGCATTTGTGCTCGTCTTCTGAATACTCTGCAACATATTTGACTTCATATTAGATAAACAAAGAAGGAAATCAATGGAAAACATGACCACTTAACTTAACTCTGTTTATAAACAGTAAATGGACTGCACGTACTGGTATAAAGCGCTTTTCTGAAAAAACGGACAAAGTGCTTTACAGTTGGCCTCTCATTAACCCATTGACACACAGGCACACACACACCGATGGCTACGAAGCTGTCATGCAAGGCACTGGCCTGTCCATCAGGAGCAAATTAGAGTTCAGTGTCTTGCTTCCACATTTCAACGTATGGACAAGAGGAGCCGCTTTAGCTCCTGAGCCACAGCCGCCTTTAGTACCACATACAACCAGTTAAATAGGAAGAAGTGGTATAAAATAGCAGATCTGTACTCACTCATAGGCTTTACTTCAGGTCTGTATCAGAGCAGACAAAACTACAGGCCTATCTCACAGTCTTTACGTAGCTGGTATAGTATGAGTCAAAGTCTGAATTAATATGTAACCGCTGTGCGTGAGACTACAGGAGGAAGCTTTCCAAGGGCAGCAAAACAAATCACAACACAACAAAAGTCAGAGCAGGCTGCAGCAAAGGAAATTTATTTCCTATTTATCTTTGGGTTGACCAACTTTGTTTACATGTATAAAACAGCGAGATGAAATGGGGGGTGGGGGGCACTGGGTTGTAAGGCCTCCTGTGATCTATGTGTCCTTTGACACAACTGAACACAGATGGTGAGAGGAAATCCATCATTACTCATAGGACTTAATACCACTATTAACATAAGTCCAAATCAAGACCTACAAAGCCATGTGTCAGAAGACACCAGTCACTCCTCCTCCCCGGTTCTTTCAATGGACAAAATGTGACCAGCATCTCTCCACACCAATGACTATGTAATTATGACAGAGCAGCACAAGTCCAAAAGAGAGACACTGGAATGTAAACTTGATTATATATTTTAGCATATTTTTGTCTTTGCGGTGAAAAATCACAGAACACTAGTGTCATGGTGCCATATCTTTAACGTACACGACTGTGGGTCTCAATTAGAAGTTGATAGTGACACCTCTGGTTTTACTACAATATTACTACAGTATTGCTGTGGGTCGAGAAAGAATAAGCTAAAATGTAGAGATATAACGTTACACTAGCTCCCACACTGCAGACTAACAAGTCGCTGCAAACTTACGGATTTTGATTTTCTTGGGATCAAACTTGCAGATTTCACCCTGCAGACTTTGCAGCCGCCCCTGAATCCTGCAGGACCTCCTGAACACCATCCCTGCCTCCATCTCGATGCCCAGGAAGATGTCGCTGGCATGTCGAGAAAGATCGGAAAGTTGGTGAATTATGTTGGTCAATGTATGACAGCCGACCTCGTCCAGTGAGGAGAACAAAACGGGTCTTCGCAGTTTGCGTCTCCCGGTTTCTTCCCCCGGTATAGAGCCATCCCTCGATAACCGACTAACACGCTGCGGCTCGATGCTCCTCTGATGAAAAGGCATATTTATTTCATACCAATAACTCCAGCGGGACCGAAAACTGTTCACGCAAAAACCTCACGGCGTTAAAACAAGTCCAAGACGCAATGCCTTCCCGTGGCTGCTGTTATTTGCGAGGCCGTATACTCCTTCAATCCCGCCATATTTTTGTTTTTCAAAGCATGAGACTTTGTGCTGCTGTACACTCACTGGAAACGTTGCCTCCCAAAGCCTATTCAAATTCAACCAGACACAGTGCAAGCTACTGGAGAGAAATGAAAAAAAACACACGAGGAAAAAGTAGGGAAAAGTACAAGTAAAAACCCGGAAAATACTACAACCACCTGTAGCAACTGGAACCGGAGCCACACACACAGAGGACAGTTTACCTGCATCTCTTCGCAGTCAGTGGAGCGGTCTGACGGAAAAACCCGGACCGGGCTCTTTCCCAACGGGACCGGAGCGACTGAAGCCGCCAACAAACTGAGAAGTTTAGAAGAATTAACAGTGTGAGGCTAAAGTCACTATTTTATTCATGCTTTATGATCGCCTGTGTCTTAGAGAAACTATTCAGCTTAACTCACTGTATCAATCCTTACAATTAGGGAAAATTAAAGGTAACATTGGGCTAATATACTTAACGTTAACCTTTAGATTTTCCTAATTTGGCAAGGTAACTCCAATTATAGCTTTAAAATTTTATTACGTAACGTTATAATGTAAGGTAATAGGTTGATGGACTTAATAACGATGATGGTGGACGGATTTAATAACGTTAGGTCATTGCACATTAAATAGTCTAATAATATTAGGCATTAAAAGGTGTATCACCCATGTCAATCCTCACCTAACGTTAAATAACCCTGATTTAAGGTACCCATGACCACATTTTGTTGAGATGGCTATTTATTTGAGTTTTTAATTAGTGATAAATATAATAATAAAAATGCATTAAAATGAAATGTTCGTGTAATTATGTAACACTAGTTTCCCAAAGTTAACTAGCTAACGTTAGCTAGGTTGTTTATAACGTTAGCTGAGTTAGTTGGGTTATGAGCTAAGTTAAGGTATATTTAACGTAACATCGTCAACAGTACAAAAATAAACTCCGTGTGTGGGCATTAATTATACTATCTAGTGACTCTTGAACTGCTTAAGAAATGTAATTTTTCAGATGTGTTAGTAATGGAGACACCCAAATGGTAATTTGACAAGTTAAGCTAACATTAGCTTGCGTGTGTAGCGTAACGGTAGGTCTACAATCTGTCTTTAGCTCCTTCATTTTAGAGAAAGGCCATGTTAGTTGTTTGCTCATACCTTTTAAAATAACCCCTGGACAACGCATTCTTTGAACACTTGCCTCTGATTTATCTCCTCTGTGTGTACAGGGTATGAGTGTCCTGTCCCCACGCCTAGCTTTCCCAGCGCTGCTCTTTAAATTCCAAAGAGCCAAATCTACTCATTAATAGCACAACTTTTGGCCCAGCTCAGGTTGATATCTGTGGATTCTTTTGCATATCTGGATAACAATGTCAACTTGGCAAAAAGTGTCTCTGTAGTATTCAGTATGCCCCCTGGTGTCTTCAAGTGAACACAGCAACTTCAAGGGGTGCCTCTTTGTAGAGTGAGCTCCAGGCAAGTATTTCCACTGTTAATGTTTTCTCATAACTCAGCTAACTGGAAATCTTCAAATTCCTCTCCACCTGCACTGTGTATTAAGAGTTTAAAGGGCTGATACAGCTGTGTTCTGGAGTGTTGGCTGTTGCCTCTTATTCTGAACATAGTGACATCCCATGTGCGTCATGAAAAAGGTGAATTGTCCTTTTACATGAGTTAACATCCGCATGGGTCATTCCCTCAGCACAAAATGTGACAGGAAAGAAGTATGAGGATGACACACTGGTGGAAAAAGGAACAAGCTAATACTGTTGTTGTTGTTGTTCCAAGGCCATCTTTGGCGTCCTCACATTCCCAACATTGCCTCCGCCCTCAGCTTAAATGTACCAAAAAAATAATGTTCATTTTAAGGGAATCCAGCTTTTATTAGTGTTATTGATTTCACCTGTGTTTCATCAAAATGTCTGCTGATAAAAACATTAGTTATTATTTTATCTTCTGAGGCTATTGATGAACAAAGAGGACTGAAGCTTAAGGACACAAAGCATTAAAGCTGGATCATATACAATTAAAATATAGAAAACAGGAAAGATGACAAACTGTCCAATTCTAGAGATGAACATAAGTTTAATCAAGATTAAATATATGCCCAAAAGAAAGATCTTGCAACTCATAAGAGATCCAAACAAGTCAAAACAATACAAAAAGATGAGCTTTTCTGTCTTTCATGTCAATAGACTGACAGTTTTATACTTCCTACGAGGTTTGGACTTTCATTTGGGGTAAAATGTATACATAAATCTCATTCACCATATTTTACAGTGCATTGATTCTCAAAACCAAAAGCCTTCTTCCACATCTAAAAACCCATACATAAACCAATTTATAGAATTATTTACATACAAGTCTTGAACAAGTCGGCTCAAACCATTTGGTGAGCAGTAAGAAACTTGAGAAAGACAAACATCACACTCATCAGAACAAATGGGAACCTCCTTAAACTTTGTGGATGGGTTAAGCCGTAAGTGGTGACATTTTTGTTCCACAAATCACTGAATGATAGGAGGCAGGAGTGGCCTCTAATTAAATAATCTCATGAATAGATACCCAGTAAGGACACTGGAGGATAACTCAACGTACAAGTTTTTCCGCATCTGTGTTTGGTTGCATCCACACATAGAAATGTACAAATTCAGCTCAATGAGTAATCAAGTGAAACCAAATGCCTCTGACGCCTACTGAACACATTGCTCATTAATGCACCTAGGTGGTTGGTATACAAAGCAATGAGTACACGAACAAGCATATTAAATGTGAAAATGAACAACAATTAACCTAAACCATAGCAACAGATGAAAGTCTCACAGCTGAGTTACTCGGCAACCATGTCACCCATGACAAATATAAGTCTAGGTCATCTCAGTTTATTAAGGATACCTTTTTTGTCAATTCATACCAGGAAGGGGGTTAAAAAAAAACAAAAAAAAAAACAGAACACTGTATTTCTTAGAGATGTAACAGTGCTTCATGACCTCCAAAACATGGGCTTTTTATTGTTAGGTATACTTGTGTGTCAGAACTGAGTACAGCATCTCCAAACACACGCAAAGATACACAAGACACAACAACCTCCCAGGCAATATTAATATAACATCTGTCGTAATACTAGCTCCTTTTCGCTTTCTTAAAAGAACTGACAAGCAAAGGACAGTTGATTATTTAATGTAATGTGGAATAGGACGCTGCTGTAAAGAAGTGGCATCTGAAGGTGGAACTGAAACAGCATGACACCGATAAAAAAAAATATCTTTAGGAGAAAGTGATAACAAATATTTATTAGGTAATTTGTTTTTAGACTTATTCTGTATCACACCCAGAGATGCGTGAGTTTATAAAGCCATAAGGCTCACAGCCACATTTTTTCATGTGCATGTTTTTTTCTATTCATCTTTGAACACTCATGACTTCATTTGGAGTTCACCTTAAACCAAGGAATGACTTCTTGCCCGTCCTTCATACATTTTGTTTGTAAACTCCATTAAATAAAACCTATTCCTGGTGCGCTCTGTCAATCAGACTGTATCAAGAATTAAAAGGTAGAATACGCAGTTTTGTGCGGGGATACGCCAAGAAGTGCACAGCTACCACTAAACATCCTGTCAGATCTTCATATATGCATAGCGGCTAGGGTCTTAAGAGATCAGCAGGCTGCTGTTTTACAACAAAAAGGATAATTACGTTTGTGTACACTGGTGTTTTTAACGTGTGTGTCAGACTTGGCAAAGACCAGAAGCTCTCTGTGGAACAAGAGCCATAGTGTTATGAAGTACATTTGCAATATAACTTAATTTTCAACATCAAGTTCTTGCCAGATAAACAACCACTGTAACCACCAAACAGGAACCGGCTCACAGAGTGCTGGACTGGGTTTCCGTTCACGGTGAAGAAAACGTCACTCAGGGCAGAAGCAGCCACAAGGCCACGTTGGACTGTTGGGCCAGGGTGGTGACAGACAAGGAGCCCAGGGTGGAAAGAGGTCAAATACAATATGAAAGCAAAGTCCTTCAGCTTGGTTTATGTGAGCGCAGCAAGGAAAGGTGGTGAATATACAACAGCAATACACACTCCTTTTCCACAGGCTCGATGACAGGCTCTAGCACGGGTGTATCTTGGGACGCACACACACACACACACACACACACACACACACACAGTACATACATGTTAGTCCAATCTCCAAACTTGGGCTCCAGATGTGTCTCTTTGTCACCCTCTGGTGGTTTTGTCCAGAACAGATCTGGTATCACTTTCTCCCTCTCTCTTACACTCACACACATATAGGCTGCCATCACACAAATCTACACACACACGCACATATGAACATACACACTCCTTGGCTCCCGCTGTGTCTGTATTCAGGCTTATCTGGTGTAGTAGACTCTGTAGTAAACACTCTTGGAGCGCCACAGCGAATAGGAGTTGTCAAACTTGAGCAGGTAGACTCCGCGGCCGGGGTACTGGTGGCTGCCGGCATACACCTCCTCATGACAGTCCCGCCGGTACACCGGCACAATCTCATCCACCTGGGGCTTCCCTGCCTCCTTCTTTGCCTTCTCCTCCTCGTTGGGAGGATCACCTGAGGACACAAGAACAATAGATCAAGTTGCAGAGAGTCACACCACTGAGTCTCATCTTTCTGAATGCATACACAGACACACATCATTAAACAGCTTCACTACAATTATGCAATGCTACCATTAACCTTAATATTATGGAGTTAAATTTGTGCCTCAACCCTGAGCACACAATGGGACATTTTGAGCAGTGGAAAATATTTTTTGAAAGCACAAATTATATTTTGAGCCGATCTATTCTGAGTCCAAAAAAACCCACATGCTCCTCTTTGTATTAAACTCATATGGAGACGCTGTATTGAGCTGTTACACTCTGGTAGTGTACCTACCAGTATAGGCGGGCAACATCATCTACAACGCGACATTGCATAACCCCCTTCACTTCAGCAGTTGATCGGTATTGGTGTCTGTATCCATGGCAACAAGTGTTATCAGGCGTACTCATAATATGAATTGTAAGTTTTTAAACAAAGACTTGTCTATGCCAACTACATATTAGACACACATAATTTTTGGCGGTCATGACATACTAGCAGCTCAGCTTTTACTATTTTTCTTTTTTTTATTAATGTTACACAATTTCCTGTATAAAACACAGTGTTGTTACACTAAATATAAAACATTACTGCTACTACAGTTAATTGAACCATCAAAACCATGCCAGAACCATCAAAACCATGCCAGAACCATCAAAACCATGCCAGTTCCACTACACATTCACAATATTGCCTAATATCTTATTAATATATCGCAGGAATACATTTCTATTCACACCACTGCTCCGGTTTTCTCTGGACTTCATCTGACCAGGAGAGAACTATGAGATGTTGAACTATGGCGTGGCCAAGTTCTGAACTTGAGATAAGAATAAAATATTATCTAGAAAAGTAGTTATTCATCTCTCCATAGGCCGAGGAGTGAAGAAACTGCAAGCTGGAAGATTAAATAACCACCAAGACTTGACAACTCATTAAATAGCAGTGTGTGGTGCATAGTACCCATAGTAAAAGGCTGTGACCCTGGGATCAAATCATGACCCATCTGTACCTTTTTATATTCTATTATAGTGAAACTAACATCACAGCTGGCAAAGTTCCATTTTCAATTATTTGAAAAAAAGGCTGTTGTGCATATTTGTTGTTTACATAATCCTGAACACATCATGGAAGGACAGCCTACATCTTCACACATCACAGTAAGTGAAACTGACTTTTTAAGCAGATATCGTCACCAGGAGCTGCCACCAAAGGTAGGTCCAGGATTACCGTCACTCCTGAAACTATTTGTATCAGGAACCCTGCAGGGTTTATTCACACCGACTTTCCACCCACACCTCACCTTCCTCATCCTCGTCATCATCACTGGACTCCGAAACGTGCACGCTGACCGAAGCGGAGGCGGCATCCGTCCACTCAAAGAAGACCCCAAAGCCGATGTCATAATAGTCTGTGGCAAACTCCCAGAACAGGTAAGCGCCCTCCTCGTGGGTGGGCACACGCACTGTCACCACCTCGCCACGCCCCACCGTGATCACGCTGTCTGCGTCTTGCCGGATTTTCTCCTTGAAGTCCTTGATCTGTGGCCGTGTCCACATGGAGGGAGCAGCTATGACTGGTGGAGAGTCTGCTGTGATCAAAAGGACAAGAGGTTTTTTACAATCTGTTGCAAAAAGTCAAATACAAATCTGCTAATGCAGGAAAGAATGTAAACATTTTAATTCGTAATAAGTGATTACCTACCAGTTTACACAGACTAAATGCGGAATGAACTAACAGACCATCTATGTTGTCAGGTTATGTGAGAGTCCATGTGATCAATGACAAAGGGCTGAGTTATCTGCATACCCAGCTATCCATCCATCTTTCCTCAAAACATTATTTTGAGAGTGAGCAGCCAGCCACAGTAGATTAATTTGGTTCATAATGCATGTTTTGGAATCTGACCAAGGCCCTGTTCACTTCTGGAAAGTGTGAAAGTGTGGTTGGATGATACCTAGATGGACACAGACTATCATGTATCACTTGTTCCAGCTCTTCTGCTCCCTGCCTTCCAGGTCACATCAACAAGGACACAGCAGATAAGAATCAGATTTCAATTTTGATATAAAGCTTTGTTTGTTTGACGGAGCTCCCCCCTCTGCCCTTTAGCTGCACAATAAGGAAAACACAGATTCTCTCTGCATGAAGTCAACTACAGTAGTTTTTGTGATGAGACAAACACATCTAGGGCCCACCAACCTAATAAAGGCCCGTTCTCTGAGACCTCCTCTGCCGGCTCAGGCTCTGGCTCCCGGTCCATGCTCTCCGAATAAGAGTCTGACTGGCCTCCATTGACTGTAGGGGCTTCCTCCCCGGCAGGTGGTGAAGCCGCACACAATGGTCCCGCAGCTGAGGCGGGGATGGACTCACTGTTGAAGCTGCTAGATTCCAGCGTGCCCTGCACCATCAAATCAGCCTGCTGCTGCTGCTTCTGTAAGGCCGCCTGGGACCAAATGAACATTTGAAGACATTGTAAACCAAACCGGGGACATAAATCAATAATGAGAGGTGAAGTTTCTACAATGTTGTTGGTGGAAGAACAGACTCCTGCTGTCATATGAAATACATTTATGTACATGTAAGGCTGCACCTTAATGGCTAAAACTGCCATCCTGATGTTATCCTTGCTAAATACTGCACTCCTCACAAGGCACTTGATTATTGAGGAGGTTCAAAATTTAATTTTGTTTTTCCATCTTTGGACAACATTTTGAACAGTCTCTGAAATTGCATTGTGGCACAAGCACTTTTCTGCATACTCTCATACTCTCATCATGAAGAGTGAGAGTAGATTTAGTTCTGGACAATTAGATGTCATGGAAGTTTTGTTTTTTTTATCCAACTCTACAGTTTTTCTTTTCATTGGTCTCACACTAACAAAGTGTTACTGATAAAATATAAACAACTGCTCAAAAGTAAGCTTTTTAGATGTAAACATCTCAAAATGTAACCAGAATAAGCCATTCTGACTTTTTGTTTTTCTTGGCCCATGACTATTTTCAATGGATCTTTGAAAGAAAACCTTGCCAATAGCTAATCTTAATACTTTACGATTAACTGCAAAAGGTAAAAATAATCAATGAAAGTCTATCCTTCTCTTAGTGTTGCATCCTACCTGTTGCTGGGCCAGCTGAACCTGGTAGAGCTGCTGCATGTACTGTTGGTAGTGCTGCTCCTGGAGCTGGCGGATGAGGCCCAGCTGTTGCTCTGGGCTGTTTGGGTATTGCTGAGCAGCATACTGTTGGAACTGCACCGCTGTCTGCGCATTCAATGCCGCCATTATCTGTTGTCTGGGAAATGGAGCACAGGAGCAGATTTGGTGAGGAAGGAAAGAGGGGGGGAGACAATGGTGGACAGTGGAAAGATGTAGGGTTTTAACATAGAGAGAAGAGAAGAGTCATGGTGAGTAAGGTGATTGTCCTCTCTGGACCAGGTTTGAACCAAGAACTGACCCGGCTAAAGTGCCCTGCTAACAATGAATCTGTCACAGCTCCAGAGCTGAAAAGACAATACCCCTGTAGGTATCAATGTCAGGGGATTGTGATGATAATGTAGAAGTCGTGCCGAAATCAAATGGATATCTTGCAAGCCCAAGCGCATTATGCAAACACACGGCGATACCAACACACATACTTTTGCTGCTCAACCCGTAGCCTCTCCTCCTCTGCCTGCCTCCTTTCCTCTTCCTCTCTCCTCAGCCTTTCCTCTTCCTCAAGCCTCCGTCTCTCCTCTTCCTGCCTTTGTCGCTCCCTCTCCTCCTCCTCCTGCCGCTGTCGCTCCTCTTCTTCTTTCCTGGAGAAGAGCAAAGTAATGAAGGATATTATAAGTTATGCAAATCGTCAAATTCATAAAAAATAAAAATAAAAAAAAGGGTCACATCACTGCATCAGTCAATAAATGTCCAATATTTCCTCAGCTACTTCACAGTCCTTCTGGCAGCATATTATATGACAAAGTGAAACAGGATCTGTATTTAGACACAGTGGCAGGGGGATCTCCCTCAGGAGAACTGAAGTCAAGCGCCTTACCTTTTCCTCTCCTGCTCCTCCCTTTCGATCTTGTGTGAGATGACATAGGGAGCAAAGAGGTTACAGCACTTGTTCAGCAGCTTCACAAACTCCACCATGGCGTCCTCCTTCTCCATGTTACCCAGGGAGGCCCACTCTTTTCTGCACACCGAGCAAGAATGGAGGTGAAAATTCAAATAAAAAAGGCAGCTTGGCAAATTGGGCTCAGCCATTAAGACTTCTTTTTAGCTTACGTTATTGATTTAAAAAAACAAAAGTTACTTTAATCAGGCTGAAAACAGGCTATCTTGGTCAAATGGGTTACATTAACCCACACAAATGTCTGCTGGGGTTACCTGCGGTCGTTGCCCAGGACGTCAAAGAAGCCGACCTCCGGTGAAGCATCAGGATTGTAAGGGCCCAGTAACACCTGTTTGTGCAGAGCCACCAGCCGAAGCTTCTCCTCGTAGGTCGGGTGGAAGGCCTTGCCATCTTTATCTGAAAGCAACAATGTGGAAGCAATGAGTTTGCATGCATTTGTCTTTTATGTCCTGCAGTGAAAAGTGCTTGTGAGTTATACAGTTACATCTTTGTATCCCTGAACAACATGATATCATATTTTTGTTCCAAGACTACAGCGTACAGTATAAAACAACAGAGAGCTTAAGTACCTCCCTTCTGCCCCATGGGATTTTATTTCATAAAAAATATGTACAGTAGTCAAGTTTTTCATAAAACAGTGACGTAACAGGAGAACAGTATTAAAACAGATGAAAATCACCTTAAGTCGGGTCATGTTGACAGCTGCAGCTACGCCAAAGAGCTGGTCAATTCCATAAGAGCCCGTATGTGGGACCGGCTGTACGTGACAGGCGGTGGCTTGTTTTAAATTGTCAAACGTCATGTGTGTAATTCAGAGCACAATTCAAACAGGATAAAAAAATGAGTTGTCCAACGCCACTGATTACTGTTTTTAAGGTCCCATGACGGTCCACCGGAAGGGGAGGCACTTAGGCTCTCTATTGCTCTGACGATTGTAACACTTCTCCTTTTCCAAGGGCGCTCTATAATTGAATAACAACCTCATGGCACTCTAATCCCAGTGAAATGTATTTAAACCAGGGTGAGGCAAGAACCAGATTTTTGTATACATGTTATACAAGTAGACCCAACTGACTAGAAATACATGACTTTAAATACAAAGCACAGATTACTATCTCACAGTGGCAACCAGGCCCTAACCTGTTTGCACAGTCATTACAAGTACTCCACTTAGTAAGAATGCTCAGTGTTCAAAAGTGCTTACACGTGTTCAGGATGTTTGCAAAGTAACAACCGACTACATCTTCTGTTAAAGGCAAGGAGGGCCACAGGGGGCAGGACATACTCTATATTTATATGAGAAATATCTTCAAAAGCTTTCAACTTGTTCTGAAAACACTGTGCTGTTTTGACTTGCTACTTCTTCACAAGTATTACTTGGTGAGATTGATGGAACTTAAATGAGGCTTTGATACTGAAACTTGTAATAGATGTTTTGGTTAGCGATATATTGAAAATAATGTGTATTTTGAGCTGTCCTTTGAGCACCAAGTATGCAATTAAGTGGTAGTGATATCAATGGTGTCACAACACTGTAAGTGCAGAAACCGTGGCTTTTGGCACCACTGTGCCCTGGTTTTAAAGTCATCTTGCAGAGACTATGGACCAGCTGTATCCTCTAAACTATTTCCTTCTTGGCAGTATGGCAGCGATTTATTTATCAAAGAAGGATGTGGTTTAGGAGCTGACGTGCCGGCTTCTTCAGCCGCAGCACATGGCAGGGCGTGTTGAGCCACCATTCAGTTGGGATGCATAGCTTTCTTACATTAACGTACAACACTAAAATTAGTTGACGGAGCAGTCGTATGATTTACAGGCTCATGACAAGCCAGGTTATTCTGTCCAAACCCTAATACATGTACATGGAAAGGAGAGAGCCAGAGCTACACACAGACACCTGGTGCTTGTTTTATCCATAACAGCCAGCTAACTGTTGGCGTCAGCTATGTGGCTAATGTAATGTTGCGACTGACAGCAGCTGCCCAGGCGGTGACAGCTAACGTTAGCAAAGTGCTAACCTCAGCCAGCGAGCGAACCGTCTCACATTTCACGGGTCGGTCCGGCTGCTAGCTGTCTCTGTGCGTTAAAGCTGGGTGCTAATAACAAACGTGAAATACCTTTGAAGAATTTAAGGCCCATCCCGTACAGCTCTTGCAAAGGAAAGCCCCATTTCCTCTCTATGGCAGATTTGCCAGTCTCTCCATCTTCGCCTTCAGCGTCACCCGGCGTATCGGTCCCGGGCTCCGCGGGTTTGGGGTCCGGCACATCGACCTGGCCCTGCTCGCCCTCCGGGTCGGGACTGAGGGTGAGGCCATCGATGGAAACTTCGAGCCGGCTAGAAGTAGCACTGTCGAGGTCGCCGCTCTGAACCTCTGTCGCCATCATGTAGACTGTCAGCTGAAGCGGCCACGTACCTACTTCCGTTTAGACCTGGCGGAAGTTCCGGGAGATTCAGTTGTCCCCCCCGCCGTAGAAAATATGACGACGCTTTAACCGATTAGAGAATAATTTACAGGAGTTTTTTTTTTTTTTTTAACACTAGGGGCTGTTATAAAACTGAGTATTTTCCACATTTCGTTGTGTTTTGAGAACAACATGATACAATATTGTTTAGTGTAGAAAAATAAGCTTTTACCAGCAAACCTTTTTTTCCATTTTTATGATGAACTAATGTTCCATCACTAGTATGTGTAAAGGTAATGGTAAAAAAAAAAGCAATACCAAACAAAAATAATAATTAATAATAATTTTAGTAGGGTTGTAATTTAGGCTAGTGGTTCTAAAACCTCATGTGAAGGACAACTAAACTAATAGAAATTTGACCACGGACCCCCCTTTTGATAAAACTTTTCTTCATCTGATAGAATTTTTGCTTTTAGATGCTTTATTACAAAAAGTGCATTAAACCCATAACCAAAACAGTCATACATTGTGTCACTGTGCTACTTATGGGTGTGACTATTTTGAAAATATATGATTATATTTTGCTTTATTTTGCCCGGACCCCACTTTGAGAACCACTGATGTAGCCTACTGTTAGGCCCCTGGCACATATTCACATGTATGACATCCTTCTATGTTGTTTTTACTGTCATCGTCCTGCATATGTCCATTTCTATAATAATAATTTCTATAAATGTTTAGAAAGAATACAGATGTTAAAGAAGCCAATAATTATTTCAATGTTTCAACAATGATTTAATAAAAACTCACTGTCTTTTAAATCAGCTTAAGCTTAAACTTTAAACTGATTGATTTGATTTGAGTGTAAGGGCACCAATTTTGTTTTAACTTATCTTGATTATACAGTTTAGTCTCTAAGTGGAATGGGTGCTGATGGATGGATGTCTTTTTATTGCTTTTAGTAAACATGAATTATAAAATGAATGATAATGGATTTTTAAGGACAATACCAGTATTAGTTTAAATATAATAGCAATATATTAACTAACTGATTATTTTATAAAAGTAACAAATTTGAATCAAGCTGACAAATAAACTTGTCAGTGGACAAAATGTGTAATGGAGACACTGTTCTTAAATGACCTCAAACATATTTTGGGCATTTCTGTGCGGACATTTCTGGTTACACCCATTTATCTGTAATAACCTAATATCTTTTGTCCAGCTCTAATATGAAACATATTTATTGCAGTTGTGTATACAACAAAAACAATCATCACACTCAACTACTGCTTGTGATAATATTAATGCATTTTTACAATGAGCACACATTTCTATTAGGAAACTAAGCGCCTTATAGCATCCCTCAAATACACAAAGACTGAACTCATAACAAAGGAACCATAAGACAGCTGATATTTTAACATATACCTGTAAACTAGCGAGGATAATTCATCTGTCTGGCTGCACTTAAATGTATAGTGATCAGGTCAAACTGTGGGTTTAACAGTGATCAGACATTAAAGGTGTGAATATCCTTTTGTGTGTATCTACAGAGGCAGCTGCCAACTGGAAATGGCCAGGAGAAAATCTGAAGTGTTTGTACTGTTTGATGTTTGAAAGTGCAGTCTGTTAACTACAATATATCAGCATTAATCAACTTAAAATTGCATTATTGTATTGCATTATTTGTGGCCACTGGCAAGAGGCATTTACTGTTCATTTCATGATCTAGCTCATTGTCCATTACAAAAGATCAGGAACTTCAACAGCCTGATTTTAGCATAGCAATCTGGTCTGCGCACACATGCAATACCCAATTAGGGCCCTCAGACAAAGCAGCCCGTGAACTGTGAATGTCTTTACCAGCAAGCACATCCTACCCAAACAATGCTATATGTGTCAAAGTACAGAGATCAATAAGTGCTGTTCAGGCTGTGAAATGACACAATAGCTGTCAAGTAATGTTCCCACAGAGATCAGAATGGAAATAACCAGAGAAAACCTTTGGTGTTTTTTTTAGGTCCCCCGCTACACGTCTCTTTCAGTGAGTAAGGATCAGTTTTACAAAAACTTAGACTCATTTAGCCAAAAATGCAATGTAAATCACAATGACTAATACCCGTTACAGCTGTATCCCATAAATGACATGAATAAGGATGCAGTAAAAAAGTCTGGCACTTTTTTGCTTTAGATTGCAATAATCATGTGTCCCCACACCCAAAGTAATTAAATATGACACATAAAATTTAAAAAACCTATGATTTCCCAAGTATGTCCAAAAATTACTCTGACATGAAAACAATCATCTGTTATTAAAGGTAACTCTAAAAGCTAACTCCTGCAGATCTTGTCCAAATATGTGTGAACAAATTAGTCTGTCTGTGGTGCTACCTGACGATTTGACTTGACCCCCCTCTGAATCAGATGAAGGTGACCCACTCAATAACAAGTGCTCACTCCTGAGTAGCCTACTTTTGAACTGAGGTTTGTGTATTGAAATTAACTGAAAGGGAGCAGGAAGAATACTTTCCTACACACATCAGTGTTGAGGAGCAGTCCTCTGAAGACCTAAAACTTTACAAAACTTCCATTTTGAAGTAAAGATACCATCACCACAGAAAATGATTACAACCCTGTGAGAAGACATATGTCAAGTTGCGCATCACCGTCAGAATATATGACTTAAATACATTTTGAATGACATGACTTTTTTAGTTTATACATAGTTTATAACTTTGCCAAATGGCTACTGTCAATTAAATGGAAATATGCTTATATTCTTTGCTAAGTAATGCAACATAATATGAAATTTGACTAGAGATTATTACATATAGCAGACAACAAACTGCAGAACTTGTGAGGCCGTTGAGAAAATGATGGTTTCCGACTGTCCCTCTTTGAAGCCTACGGGTCCATTACTGCTTCATCCATTCCAAAGCGGATAAATGTTTTCACTGCCGATGTGTATTGAACATGCAGATTCCATTAAAGCCCCTTTAAAGAGACCTGCGGTCGCTCCACCGTCCCAGGTGTGATGCCTTCACACCTCCGTCGGCCTGCAGACGTCTGAAGTTGTTGCTCGGCCGCTGCAGTGCCAGCCGGCACTGATGGTTGCCCCATTCACACATACCGGCATCGTCACCTTTGATCCCGAGGGGGATTTAACCACAGCCAGCGCGCAGGTCTCAAACTCAGTCAGTCGCTGGAAATAAGACGTCGAGGAAACATGTCTTCAGTTCATGGGAATATGTGCGTCGGGGATGTGAATCATTTCCAGATGTATCAAGAAAGACCTCTGCAGATGAACAGCATGGTGAACTCAGGTAGGTGGCTGGCAAGGACTTCACAGTTTGTTCTGTGCGTAATTTACGCACAAGTCCAGTGACATGTTTCTGTGACTCCTGGTCATTTAACGGTATTAACCAAACACGTCCGTGCGTTTTCTTTTCAGATTATGGAGCGTCAGATGTTACAAACTACTTCAACGCCGCAAACGCTGTACCGAGAGCGGATAAATGCGTGGCAATACTGACCCACAGGAGGAAGAGGACCAACTTCACCCAGCAGCAGATTGAGGTTCTGGAGAAGGTTTACTCAGACACTAAATATCCTGACATCTACCTGCGGGAGAGGTTGGAGGCTCTGACTGGGTTACCGGAGTCCAGAATTCAGGTAATGTCTCGTTTAAATCCCTCCTCAGACACGCATTGTCAAAGGGTTCATCCCAAATTGTGGTATGGGTTCAACTGTCCTCACGTTTTATTTTCTCCCCTACAAATCTCAGGTGTGGTTTCAGAACAGAAGGGCCAAGTCTCGTCGCCAAGTTGGCGCATCGGTGTCCATGAAGGTCGCCAACCCGCCAGCAGCTGGCCCATTCAGCCAGCTCCACAGCAGGATGGGCCCAGAGAAAGGTAATTATTACATAGACTTGTTTCCCTTTTTTTTCCCCACTGGGGCCTGCTCAGATGTCGTCTTTTCCACAATTGGTTCACATTCTATAATAAATATACTTCTGAAATGTCTTACTAAATGTATTTCAACACTTGCTTTAAAGTCACCTCAATTTGTATAATAAGTTGCTTAAAACGACTCTCCAGTGTTGGGAATCAGTCAAAGTCTAAAACAATTTGAGAACTAATGTCATACTTCTGTTTTCTCTTTCAGTTTATGACAGCAACCATGGAGCCGAGGTACACAGGATTGCAGGGTTTGGACTGGAAGACAGTTTCAGACCTCTGATGCACCAAAACGCAGAGGACATTCATGGAACCAGTGTCCCCACAAAACCCAGCAGCTTTGAACACACATCCCTCTCCTGCATCTATGACAAGGAGGGAGCCAGGGTGAAGCCCGAGCAGATGCAGCGGCACGAGCTGAGCGTGAACGTCCCATGCTGCAACGTCCACCTCTATCCCAAGGAGAACGAGCATCCTCCCAAGATCGAAGCCAGCGTGACCGCCAACCAGAATCCAAAGGTTTTGGTGGAATACGACAACTTCCCACCCAACAAGACCATTGGGCCAGAGATGAAAGTTGTGATTCCTCCCATCCCGAGCCAGAATACCTTTAACAGGTCATCACCAAAGGATAATGGATGCCAAATCCAGTATCCACGCGTGAGGGCCACAGGGGACTGGTTCAGCCACTTCTCCCCAATCCATGCCACTGAGGCACAGGACTTCACTGACTCGGACTCTGACTGGGAAAACGAGGCTATGGCTGGCTTTGGTGGCTTCATGTGATGTGTTTTAGGAGATGACATAAAAAAAAAGCTACCTTTATCATAAGAGGCAGTATACAGTTGTTTGTTTGTGTAAAAAGAAAAATGTGTATTTATTGTAAAATAGTAATAAAACTGTCGATTGTATAAAAAAAGAGAAAAAAAAAAGAACTGTTGATTGGTTTCACCTGTTAATAAAGACTAAAAACTACAAGACCAAATGCTGCTTTGCAATATTATGTTTAATATAAAAAGACGGAAACATTTATATACAATTGCCCTGTGGCACTCTCATATACAACTTTACAAAACTGAAAAAGGAGATTCTCTAGGGGAAAAAACTGTTGACTTGAATTTTTAGAGGTTACATCAGTGATGCAGGCTTAGTGTGGGGGTTGCAGCAACAGCCATGCCAAATATGGAAATGCTAAGATCATCTCAGGAAGTAAAAGGCATCGAAACCCCGGAGCGCTCCTTTATAAAAATACCAAAATCTCTTTTCAGTGCACACAAAATTACAAAAGCCATTTCTGAACACACAGCAGAAATGTTGACGATAGTCCTAATAATCAGAGATATTGTACAATTATCTACAATAAACAATTTTATAAAACATTCTTTAGCCGCCCCCCCCCCCCGTGCTTACCATCAGTGGAGCAACAGAACACAACACTAACAGGGGGAAACTTTAGAGATAGCAAAATATTGTTTCGTAACCATACACACCTACTCAAATATAAATAAATATGGACTATAAAAACTGTAAGAATCAATGTTTGGCACATGAAACCAATAAATAACCATTGAGTTTGGAGAATTGGATTGGTGGCAATAGTTTAAGACTCTTTCAGGTTTGTGTTCAATAGGGTGCACCAACATTTTCATACAATAAAATGGGTGAGTAAAATACTTAGAGACATCCTCCCTCCCGTCAGAGCAAAGCTTCTGCAGAACTCTGAGTCGCTTCACAGAGGACATCCAAATTCAGACTGTATGGTGGTGATCCACAGCATCCACAAGGGCTTTTTGTTTTCAGTCTCTTTTTTTTTTTTTTTAAACAGTTCAGGTGAAAGCACCATCTCAAAAGATGATATTTTAAAAAAGGCCCACACCTCTGTGTGTGCATGCACCTGTGTGTGGCTGATACAGGTACTCAGACTGCATTGGTGTTGTTGGCCGCAAATGCATGCAGATTGCCCAGCTGGCTAAGGCCACTCTGGATGTGTGCCACGTGGATCTCGACATTATTCTGGAAGCAACTAGAAACACAGAAAAATAAATGGTCAGTACTTTCAGGCTGACTGAATGATGATTGGTAATGACACGCCATTTAAAGAGACAGAAAACTATCTCCGGTCGTGTGTAGCGTGACTAAGGAAGTGGAGTTAGAAACACTGTTTTACCTGAGGTTGGAGGGATCAATAGATGCCTTGATGTCATTAAGGGAGTCTGTTAGAGATTTAAACTCAAATGAATTCAGGTCTCCTCCATCTGCCAGACACTGAAACAAATCAGGCACAATTGAGTTATGAACAGGTTGTCAAAGTTTCAGTCTGTTACCGTACAAATTCAATTAATAGCACAGGCTTTTATTTGCTTCAATCCCTGAACTCACTCTGCCTATATTTAGGATTCCTCTCACACAAACCTCATGCTCAGAAAAGATGGGAAATGAGACTACTATCAAATTGTTTATTTCAACCAGTATGAATATTAAAAAACAAAGTTTGACGAAATTAAAACGTGACAATATTTCTCGGCAGGGGAAAAGCTGTCTCAAGAGACTCATGCAATTGACACTCTTCACACGCTGTTTATAATTTGAATTGTCACGATTGGCCGCTTCATACATTTTCTCATGCAGTGAAATACAAATGCATAACTGATAGCGTCGACTCGCTGTACGAATCATCTCCACCCAGCTGACACAGTCGTCACTTGATAGTAATCAAGTGACCCCCCCTCTCGCTGTGAGTCACAGCCAGTTTGTGACAGAGTGGTAACGTAGCTTCTAGCATACAGTCCTAAATGGGGTTCTGTGTCAGTCAGACTGTCTGAATAGGATACTACCATATTATCAGAGCAATGCACAGCAGAGTATAGGGCAGGTAGACGTTCAAAGAATAATATGAATTCTCATTAAATGATGACGTTTGTCTCGTAATAGAACACAGATATGTGCGACAGATTCTGAATGTGCAGAAAGTTTAGAACATGAGCAGGAAACCTGCTGAAACACACAAGCTATTAAAGTACAGGAGTTTATAACTGAATTAAAATTAAATAATTTATTATTGAGGTGAAAAGTTGCCACATAGGCTTGTTCCGATTGGTGATTGGATCGGCTATCGACGATTGAAGGGATGATCATTAGTTTTTCATGCGCCGATATTAAGAGGATTTTAACCAACTCTATCAGAACTAGAGATTGTCTCTTTAACAGTCTCTAGAATCCGCACCACACTGCAGTGTTTCCCATTCATTGATTTATTTGTGGCAACACACCACGCCACATTATCAACGCTGACTGCCACATACTAAATAGCTTTGCTAAATAGCTATTTAATATGAGTAAGTTCATAATCCACTGTGGAGCTACGCGCGGCGCATAGATTCACACAGCACCTCCGCTGGCTCGCTCCCTCTCTCTCTCACAAACACAATCAAACGGAGCCGTGTGTTTTTAGAAAAACTAATGCATTCAAGTTAACTCTGAGAAGTTAGTCTCAGTTAACACAACGCTGTCAATGTCAGAGACGGATATGTTAACGAATACAGCTGGGTTGTCGAGGTTAGCATGCTGTACATAGCTGCCATTGATGGTACCCCCTCCTACCCGCTGCGCCACAGTTACTTCTGTGGGAAACAATGTACTGTGTACATCTGTAAATGTACAGAGTACATAGACAGACGATTTATGAGCCAATATTTGGATTTTGAGAATGATTTGGATAGTATATCCTTTTACTGTATAAACTATACTTAGAACAGGCCGATATTGAAAGCTGGTCTGTATGTGGACTATAAAACCTTTTCCTAAATGGATTATGTTAATAAAATAGATTACCGTCTCAAAGAGTAAACATGTAAACAATTGCTCATCAATAAATATTTGCTGCTGGAAAGTGAAACTTTTTCAGCCATCTGTAAACAGAGAGTGAGTGAGAGAGAATAAGCATGTGCATTTCACTTTACACATAATCTGCCATAATTTCAATGTAACATATTCATATCTAGTTTATCCCTTTACCAGCACTCTTTAATTCTAACCATAGCTATGTGAAACCATTTCTTAACCACCATTGGTATAATTCATGCTGTCTATACAGTGATCTGCTGTTGAATGCATCTGATACTACATAACTGTCTACAACGAGGACTTGGAGCTTTGATATTTCATTTAACTAACGTTATAACTATAACCAGAGTCGTTACAGCGCTCGGATCCATGCTTCCCCATTTCTCTGTCGGCCAGTTGTTGGATCCCTCTGGATACTGAGGTATATAGTTAGTTTTCGGGATGTGCAGTGTGGGTGCGGGGCAGGGCTGTGCTCCGGTTTGTTCTGGGTTTGTGCCTGGAGTTCTCGGCCCTTGACAGGTGGGTGGGTTGTTGGTGGCATGCAGCTGAGCTAGTTGATTTTGCCTCGTTGCTGGTTTGGCTGGTGTTGCACGGCGGCCGGGGGGTGTGCGGACTTTTATTGCCGTCGTGTTGTTCCGTTTGCTCTCTCTCGTTTGCCCGGCCTCGCACGCGGGATTCGCGGGGGGCTGCTGGGCATTGGGTGTTGATGATTGCGTGGCATTTGGGCATTTTGGTTGTTCGCTGCGCGGCGGTGGGGTGCTGGGTGGGGGGGGAGCACTGGTCTATGTTGTGTGCGCGCCGCGGTCGGTCCGGGCGCTGCTCTTCCGCAGGTTACGCTTTTTGCGTTCCGTCGGCATTACGTTGTCAACTGGCATTTGGGTCGGGGTCTTCTGCGTTTGCATCGCGGTGCATCTGGGAGTCTTTTTTTTCTTTTTTTTTATTGATTTATTCTTTTTCTTTCTCCCACCCCTATTGGCTACTGGGGTTCTTGCCTGCCCGTTGCTGGGGTAGGTGTGGCACAGTCGTGGCGCCCCACTCTCACTAACAACTACATTCTTTAACAGGCTTATGCGCACATGTACACACACACACACACATACAGACACAATCAGTCACAGACACAAACAAATTTAGGTTGTCCCTGGTAGAATTATTCCTGATGCTTTTCTTTCAGTTACTTATTTAAATTAATTATTATTCCAGCTCTCGTGGCTGTGCTGTGTTGCTTATTTAGTGTCCCACTCTCACTAACAACTACATTCTTTAACAGGCTTATGCGCACACACATGTACACACACACACACACATACAGACACAATCAGTCACAGACACAAACAAATTTAGGTTGTCCCTGGTAGAATTATTCCTGATGCTTTTCTTTCAGTTACTTATTTAAATTAATTATTATTCCAGCTCTCGTGGCTGTGCTGTGTTGCTTATTTAGTGTGTTTCTTGTTTTCATTTTTCTCTTAGTTGTCTTACTATGTCAGCTGTTCATTGCTGCTGTTCGGCTGGTTGTCTTTTACTATTATTATTATTTTTATTGTTTGTTTTTGTTTGTTGTGTTTTTCTCCTCCTGCCCCCTCTCTGTTCTATTGCAGGTTTCGTTGCTTTCTGCAATTGGTGTTTCCCACAGCTATTCCCTGTTGTCCCCACCTTCCATCCCCCTTCTCTTACAGGTGTTGTCCTTTCTCTGTGCTGTCTGTTTGTGCCCCCCATCCCCGTGTCTGCCCCCCTGTCCGGCCCGGTGACAAATCAATACATAATTAAATAAATAATAAAACAGACAAAAGAGTATTTTAATACTCTCTTGTTAAAGTAAAATCTGTCTGGCACAATATGGTATCCAGGTCATTATACTCTATACCAGGCTGCTGGGCAGGACAGGTTTAGAAAAAAAAAAAATAAAAAAAAAAAAATTGAATTGTCACCTGCAACCTACATTTTGTGTTTCCACCATAAATTGGTGCAAAAAAGTCACCAGAATGCAGGAAATTAAGTGTTTAATGTTTCCTACAAATAGTGTTAAAATCTTGTCTCATTTTCGTGAACCCAATATTGTGTCTCATCTCATCTCATGATTTAAATATCTTCACACACACCTTAATATAAATAATCAAAGACCACTAGTGACCACTTCAAAAAGGTAGTGAGTCCGAACTCCCCCCCGGTTTAATCTGATGACAGTAAATCTGAACAAATAATACTTTGGTGCTCATGGTACATTTAGAAGGAAGTGAACGATTAAATTGTGTACAACCAGGCCAGACCAGACCAGTGGCCTGTACCACGAAGCGGGGTAACTGGCTTATCCAGGTAATTTAAGGAGTAACTTCATGACGTCGGGTGTAACTTCCCGATTTACCAGTACTACGAAAGGTGGATGGGTGTTACCTGAGGTCTGTTGCCATGGCAATTTACGCTGCATCTCTAAACTGCTCCAAGCAGGTTTTGTTCGTGGTTAACTCGAGGTTACCCTGCAGGTGGACTACATACCACATCTGTATTCATTGTTAAGGATGAGAAGTAGACTATTAATTCACACCACTTCATAAAATATGTTTAGATTTCATCCTGATTTGTTCCAGTGTGGTTGCAATGAAGTTCTGAACACAACAGCATTACGTTCAGACAGCGAGCCCTGCAGCCTCTGTGATTTTAGAGAGGAAATCTTAATTAATTAACGGGATAGTTTCTTAGATGTAGCCCATCTGTAGTCTATAATTGAATTCTCCTAAGTGTTTTCACATATTTAGATAGACTATTTTACGTGTCCAAAAAGTAGGGAGCCAGGTGGGGATTAATAACAGAGAAAAACAAATCCTAGAAAAGTGTGAAATTTACAAGAAGAAAAATTTAAAATTCCCTGAAATTAAAGTCACAAAAAATCAAAAATCACTGGTGTTTTCTTCTGAATACGCCCAATCCACGACAAATTCTCTAAGGTGCATGACAATATAGTGACTGTGGGCTAAACTCACGAGTATTTCCTCACTGCTAAATCCGATTGTGAAGTCCAATATAACTTTCCAATGCATGCAGACTACACGGCAGACGTGTGTGTGATGTTGTAGCCTTGCAAAGTGAAGTTTCTCGCATAAATGTGTGACTATAATATCAGAGAATATTCAAGTTTACCCCCCCTCTCCTCTGGCTCCTTTTGTTCCCCATTACATTGGACCTAATGTCCAGTTGTACCTTTACATCTTAATCATATTACACATAACAAAAGAGCCCATAAAATACATAATAGAGATTTGAACTACAATAATAACACTGTGAAGGCAACAATATTACTCAATGTGATGCCAACAAGCCTCCCTGGCTTTGTCGTCTGCCACAATATTTGATTTAGCCGTTAACTTGTCTTTACATTCATAATTTCCTGACAATACCAACGTGCATTCCTCTGGTGACATCCGCAGCATGCGCCGTTGGGAAAAAACTCTGCCTGCAAGGCCGAACACACCCCTTTAATGCGAACACGCACCAACTCCAATTAAGTTAACACTGACTCAACTAACCAACATCTTATCTACCTTCATAGTACCGTTTAACTCCAGTGTAGGTGGTCAGAGTTTTTCAACCCCGAGTTTGCCCGATCACCCAGAGTTAACTCAGAGTAGGTTCGTAGTAAAGGCCACGGGCGTCTAATTCTGCCTTTATTTGTCTGCCTTTATTTGTCAAGACGTGTAGTCACACCAGGCCACTAAAAAGGTTAGGCGTGTAATTGGGACTAGGCATTTAATTCAAGTTTTACGGTTTGACTGTTCAGTCTACATACAAAAAGGTGCCAAATATATTGCAAAATAATCCTACTGGCAAAACTAGAGAGAAACGCACTGCATATATCCGCTTTCCTCCTGACATTCATTATAAAATCTATGAGCAGAAACGAAACAGAGAGCAGCAGAGCGTTTATATATATTTATCCTCTACCTTGATCTGTAGCAGTAGAGCCGTGAGGCGGGAGATGAGTTGTGTGAGGCTGGGGTTTGTCACACTCTGCTGTCCGTCCTTCAGTGAGTTGCTCAGCTGCACCATCTGCTGGGCCTCGTCTTCACAACGCCGCCGCAGCTCTGTGGGATGGTCAGCGGGAACCATGCCCTGATCTGGAGCGAGCTGGTCGGACACATCGTAAAACAAGGCTCTGTGAGTTCATTTTTCCAGATTGACTAGGATGTGAGAGGCTAGAAATGGTAGAATAGGGCATATCATTTCACAGCTACACAGGCTTCCCTCACTCAGCTTCAGGGGCGATAATTAATGATAATAAATAATATAATAATCGACTTACCTCACAGCAGAACTGTTGAACTTCATGAAGCACCTTGTTGAGATCTTTATTGAGCTGTTCAAGCTCAAGCACTGTGGTGGCATATCGCTTCTGGAAGTCTAGGTCAATAGGCATTGAGTACGACTTCTAAAAAACAAAAACACAATCATAGATTTAGGTAGGCTTGTTGCATGCAAATTTAACAGCTTTTGAAGCAACTGTTTTTTGTTGTTTTTTTAAATGACAATGATTGTACCAGTTTCTCTGCCTCTGTGTTCATTTCTTTTAAATGCTTGATGTGCTCTTTCTTGATCATGAGGATCTTGGACAGCCTCGTCTAGTCATGAAAAAAAATATGACAAAGGATTTGTTAGGACAAAGTGTTGCGAAGTTTTAGGATGTCAGATTTTAGAATTTGACAGGAATTATTTACCACTTGGACAAGGAATTTGACAGGAAATCCTCCCAGAGTGTCTCCCTCAGCACCAGGCAGTTTGTTCCTCCATGGTGACTGGTTGATAAGAGGGTCATTGTCCTGTTGTTTAAAAAACAAGGAAGTAATTTACCTTCATCCGAAATCTAGAGAAAGAGATTTGCAAGACTTGTCCTGTTGCAGTATGATGCCGACTGTTTTAACACTGATGTGCTGTCAATTGATCAACTACTTTTTTAAAGCTCAAACAATTCACAACAATACATGAACAGCACACAGTACAAAAACTAGATTTAGGTTTTTAAAGATTTGTCCAGTAGAAAAAAAAAAACTGGTGACATGATTTGATGCTACACTGGCTGAACTATATCATTGTACAGTAAATCCACTGACTAGCACATCTAAATATACTTTTGCATGCATACATTTACAGCCTGCTTGTACTAGATATGCTGAACAAAACCATCTTAGAATTACTGTCTACCTGGTCAAGTAGATGTAAATACCTTCTCACAGCCAAAGCAGATTTTTACCAGTACGAAATATCATTAACAACTGTGTGACACCGGGGACAAGTTGTGATGACGCTGTACATGTATATCTGTCAATAGATTGGTGTAGGTTTACAGTACCATGAGGACTGGAGTGGTGGCGGACGGATAAGGCCCTCTGGGCGGAGTCATGAGGTTCTGCATGTAGCGTGATGTCCGATGCTTCTGGGCAAAGGCTGAAATGGGCATGGTCTCATTGGGCTCATTACTCTGGAAAACAGATATTTAAGGATGTATCTGACGCTACTGTACATCCTTGTATTTTCACAACGTCTTGTTTAACAATTTTTAATGAAACTGCATTATAGTTTTGATGCGTGGATAATTTAGAAAAATAAAATACAGACAAACTAAAGTTGTTAACGTGCATCTTAGGAAGACAACAGGCAAATCTTACCAGGACTTCGTAGTCAGGCACAGTGTGTGTTCCCAGGCCACTGCGGTCAAAGGTGACACGATAGGTGGCAGCACTGGTGTCAACTGCATCAATCTGCCCTGTGAACAGCCCATCATGGACGCCTCGGAGTCGAGCTGTGGAACAAAAACAAGACAAGATCAGAATCCGTACTGTTCAGATCAGAATCCGTACTGTTCATATGGTACAGATCCATATGGGACATCCTTACTTGCCCTGTTGGGTTTGATTTTCCACACATACTGATGCAATCACTATAAACAGGGTTTAGGACTTTAACTCCTAAAGGCAAATCTGTGTCGAATGTACGCTGTAGCCTGATGTGCACTGCGAGAACTGTGATTGGTCAGCTTGATAGCACTGCATTTCCTCCTACTAGGGCTGCGACTAACGATTATTTTCAATGACGATTAATCTGTTGATTATTTTCTTGATTAATAGATAAATAGAAATCTATCAAATGTCAGAAAATTATGAAAAATGATCCCCAAAGCTCAAGATGACGTCCTTAAATGTCTTGTTTCTTCCACAACCCAAAGAAATTCAGTTTACTGTCATACAGGACTCCAAAAAACTGAAAATATATATTCACATTTAAGAGGCTGAAATCAGAGCAACTTTATTTTCTTAAAACATTACCCAAACTGATTAATCGACTATCAAAATTGTTGACGATTAATTTAATTATGACAAATAATCCATTAATCATTGCAGCTCTTTTCTCTTGTTTCTGCATTTTTGTCATTTCACTAAAAGTAACTGCTGTTCAACATCGATCAGCTCTAACTCCAACATGATCCTCTCAGTTTCAGTCATCCTCGTTTGTAGTAGCCTAGAGCAACAAGTGGCAAAACAGTGGCTAAACTCAAAACAGCGGCGAAACAGTGGAACTTAGAAACCCCACCGCCAGCTACAGAATTAATTTTTAATAATTAATTCTGTAATTGCAGAGTGACACAGACACCAACACACAAGTATAAATGCTCATGACGGCGTAGACCTGACACAGATGTGTAAATTGGCCTGAACAGTTCACTTATTTGATCATTACATAGTCATATACATATTTGTTACCGACTCCTGCACTTCTGATCACACAAATACTAACAATGTGAAGTGGGTTGCTGTGCAGATCATTTGACCGCCATGATAACAACTAACATTTAACCAGGACTTTCAGGCTGTTGTAACTAACAGTGGTGTGTGTTCATTTTAATCATCTTACCAGTGACTTTTGTTCCTATAATGAGTGGCAGGGGAATTTCATCTGGAAGGTCTTTGCAGTTTGATACGTCAGACAGCTTTCTTTGCTGCAGCAGGCGCATCTTCTGCCTCTTCTGTCTCAGCGCTGTCCGCTCCTCAGCAAAGAATGCTGACGAACACCTGGATGAGCCAACAAAGCATAGAGCTTCTTTTAAACCTTTGTTTAAGGAAATGGCGTTATGAAAAAAATGCATAGAGAAAACAGTTTCACGTCAAATGTCGGACAAAAATAAAGAAACATGATAAATGAAAAGGTTGTGTGGAGGCACAAAGGCTGCAGCTTACCGCCGAGGTTTCCCCATCAGTCTCCTGATTGTTCCCCACTCAACCCTGGTCAACTTTCTTGTTTTCAGGTTGGGGAAAGACTCCTTCAGACACAGGCAGAATTCGTTGTCTCCCTCAAAGAGAGGTCTGGAGAAGAAAATAAGGTAAAAAAAAATATTTTGGCAGAGAAATCACACAACAATGTACTACAAACATTTCTGATTCTTGAGTGGGAAAAATCCAAACTGCCACCCAGTTGCCGCTGACCTTTCAAACCATGTTCAATTTCATTACAGATGATCAAAAAGCTTAAACATTAAAGCATATCTGAATTGAATGTCTTCTGAAGGTGAACTTGAGACTCTACCTGTCAATATTGGAATAGAACCATTCATAGATGCACCATTTGTGAGCTTTGGGTAGCTTAAGGAGGTTTCTTAATCTCAGCCCTATTTTCTGGGATGCCTTCTTATCAGGTGTCACCACATTAGAAAATTTCTGTAAAGAAAAACAACAAGATTCAAGATACAGGTACATATGTATATTCCCAAACATAATAAATGAATTGAACACCTTAAGTATGGTTATTCTAAGTATTCTTCCACTGGGCAGTGTAGCTGTTGAGATTTGCCACAAATTATTCACTAATAGGCACACGAGCAGCTTCCCGCAACCAAGCTATAAAACCCATCATCATAATTTGAGAGGCTCAACATGAGAAAGCGCCATTTTTAAAAGGCTTGCTATGTTTCCCCTCACTTGATTTGTAGCCAGAGCTGGATCAAGGATTTCCTTCTGTGGGCAATTTACTGCGGATATTACAACTCTGTGCTATACCTTAGAAAACAGAATTCAAAATTGAGAATACAGTGGCTGTAATGTGATGAATGACTGAATCACTGTCTCTCTCTTATTTTGCTAGTGTAGAGCACCCATACCCTCACACAGCTCCTGTGCAACAAGGCAACTTCTGGAACCAAAACAGGACCTATGAAGTATTGTTGTTGTGTCTGCCAAACATTTTCTCACCATACTTTCTACACCATCCTCAAATGCAATGGGAGAGTAGGGCGGGCCAAATTATTCCCTCTTTTCACTACGAATCACTTTTATTAAGTGTATTCTTTACCTGTGGTGTGGTGGAGACCCTTTGGCTCCTCCGAGGGGATCTGGAGGGGAGACGCTGCTGAGGCGGCTCATCCTCCTCCCGAAACAAACGGCTCCTCTTTGAGCTCCGTGTGGGCTGGAAGGACAAACGTGGACAGGAGTTTATGAACAGTGCCTATCGATTTAATGTGCAAAATTAGAACATTAGTTTCCTTCTGTCTGCAGAAAATACAGTTTGATCAAGGCAATCCTGCAGATACAGTATTCAGGCAAACAATGTTTTTGTTTATTTTATTAGGGAGTTGTAAGATTCAAATTTAACACCCCAGAGAGAGCATAGTATGCCATTCTCACCCAGAGAATTTTAACGTAAAACGAAATATCCACCTCAAAAACAAACAAGTGTTTGCAGAAGGGTCCCAAACCGTCCCATTCTGAAACATTGCCCACTTTTTTCTCCAGTGCAAAATAGACTACAAAGCCATAGATTTGCACACAACTACATAAAGGCCAGTTGCATGTCGAACTCAACTTCATCTGGAAATAAATGCAATGAAAACAATTAACTGCGGCTGGTAAGATGTGGTGATGATGGGGCATTGGATAAGACACATGCCTTTGGTGTTAGAGCCCCGGGTTCAATTCCCCACTGTGACACATCCACCAATGTGGATGTGTTAAGTGTCCTTAACCTCGTGCAACCTCTGACATATATAGCAATTGGAAGTCGCTTTGGGTAAAATCATCAGCTAAATGAATAAATGTAAGATCAAAAGTGGACAGTGACCATATAATCAACAGCAACACTTCCTTATCAAACAAGTAGCCTTTAATTACTGCGTAACAGTTAACGTCTTTCAATTATTCACATCTATAAAGAATGCACTTGTTTTAAATCCCACTCATCTTTATGCCTCTCAGGTCATATGTTTTTGTGCTAATGTACTTTATGTTTTTTTTTGACTGTGTGAACTACTCTACACTTCCATTTTGGCCAGATATGTCTTGTAATAGAGATCCTGAATCTCAAGAGAGTTTTTTAAAATACAAGTTCAATAAATAAATAAAAATTATAAATTCAGACTTTAAAGAGACTATTAGTCTCTACTGTAATTTGCAAACATAATCCTACACTAGAAAATACCAAGTTAGATGGCCTTCAAACCAGTGATTAAAATTTTGACAATGTCTGAGTCGTGTTGATTCCACAGTATGGTAAATTGTGAAATTGGGGCTTGTGTTGTACTCTATTGCATCTCATTAACTAGCTTTTATTTATGTTTTTTAAGCTTAGCATTGATAATAGTGTGTATGACAGAAGCCTCTCTATTGCTTCCTCTTCACAAGTTTTAAAATTGACAAACTAACACCATGTCTATTACCGTCTCCATTGAGTGGGAGGAATGTTGTCCCCTGGTGTTGTGAGCTCTTGAGAAGCTGTTCTTTTCATTCAGAGTGTTGGACAAACTCCCTTCTGTAAAATAAAAAATAAAAGAAATTATTCAAAATAGCGTACAAAGTGACACCAAATACAAGACAAGAGTGAGAACTACTCACTATCAAATGTCAGATAATTGTAAGATAAGATGTCATATAAGACTTATAAGTGAGACAGCAACAGATCATTTTAAAGTCTTAACAAAAAACTTTTCTCTTTACCAATCTGGAGAAAAAAGTGCAAGTATCTGGAAGACTGTAAGCAATTTTGGAACAATTGCTTCCCCTGTATCCAAGTCTGCTTCTGCCACTAATGTAAGGTAGCGTGGGATGTCACTGTAAGCTGGTCATTATGGTGGTCTAACTCAGTGAAGAATATAGATTTCTGACCACTTCTAAATCAGGAAACCTTTGGTATAATGTCAGCTGACAAGCCCAAATCAGAATAACCTTCACTGGCTAGTAATTCCCAATGTACCAAGAACCTATGTACAGAAAGACAGTAAGCTAAAAGAAAATACTGTCCACATACCTTTTAGACTCACAAGTGCCTCTGCTGAAGAGCCTGAGGAAGAGGACAATTTGGGTTACATCAATCTTCAGTAACATGCTAATGACATTATAAAATATTTGATTAGCTTAACTATAAAAAAAATGCTGTAAATATTTCACTAAACCTGTCAATGTGATAAAAGGTTGATTGAGTTCTTTAGTTTCAAGTTAATATTTTGCTATCAAAGAAATCGGCTGCAAATAACGGACGTCTATGAGCCTGTCCTTTAAACACTGACAGCAACCGGGTAGGTAGGGTAACTGAAGTTAGATATGGCTAGCGCAGTCAGTTAGGCCCAAAATCCTCACTTTGAGCTGTCAGACTCGAGCACAACATCAGCTGGACACATCATATCAACCAAATGAGCTAAACAAGCTAACGTTACACTATGTTACAACACGGAGACAATATTTAGTGACATTCACTACGGTCACATCGATTGAAATGACAATTTCGGCTGTTAATAGCCAAATAAGTTGGCTAGTTTCCCCTTTACCAGCTTGTCAAAATGATACACAGCGCGTTAACGTGTAAACGTTAAACAGCGCTAACGAACGTTAACGTAAATCTAAGGAACGATATCAGGGAAGACTAAATACTAAGCCCAGCAAAACCGATAGCTAGTAGCTAGCGTGTGTACTTTGGCAACAGAAACGTTGTGGCAGTCCTTTTGTTATTACTGCTTACGATCTAAGGCTAGCAGACGTTAGCTCATGGCTAAGCTAACGTTATTTGTTTACCCAGTTGGGCTTAAGTAACTTGCTCAACTCCAACATTAGCTATGGTTAGCCTCTCCTGCTAACAAGCGTTAGCTGACTTGGAAAGACCGGTATCTCTTTGCGTCTAAAAAATACTTTATGAACTCCGCCAAAAACTCGCGATGCTCGTTACATGGGCAATGATAGCAATTTATCACCAAATATTTATTTCACCACTACGGGACCGCTGCGTGTTTACAATGTAAAACTCCTTGATTTACTGTTGTTACTCACTCTCGTCTAACAGCTGGTCCATCTCCGCCATCTTGAATTAGCCGCGCCGCTTTTTCAAAGACCTTGTCAAAATGCATTCTGGGTCGGGACGCTATCTGGAGGGCGATTTGAGAAATAAAAATTGTAGAATTTACAAAGAATACGTATACAAAATGTACTGGGAAATGCTTTCAAAAGCCAGCATCCCTCCATTGCTTCATAAAGCGCTTCTGTTACTGTCACATATTTTGTTTCTCTTACATATTTTATATTGGTGGGAAGGGGGTGTCAATGCTGTTTTGACTTTACATGAATACCTCCAGGTGCATGTTGTTGTTTTTACCTGGAATTATACATAGCACCAGAAAACCATGTCCAACATAAAAAGGCTTCCATGAAAAACATCTCTTTCAAATGGGAAATTATATTAGGAAATATTCCTATTTTCATGTATATATGCAGGGGGTTGCTAATGGTTGAACATACTACAAGATCCAACTTCAGGACCTTCTGGCTCATGGAGTACTTATTGGTAGCGGACCCTGATCTGCCAAAGAGCAACCCTTTAAAGAAATTATATCTCATTACTTTGAAAAGCTGACATGCAAATTTACATTTATTTTCACATCTAAAACTTAAATTGGATCCAACATGAACATGTTCAAGAAAATATTACAGTTCAAAAACACGGTGTGAAATTTTGGGAACTCAATGTTTTATTTTGTTTGAGGTAAGTGAGAAAAACAAATAAAAAGTGTACCACATACAATGGCAGTTGTTTCTTTTACAGAATATTTTGTAGACACTACCCACATTGTTTATTTTTTCATTTTTAGCAAAGAAGACAGCTTGAGAAACAAATAACAAATATATACATGTCAACCCTTGTACAGTATCTTTCAGCCCAACAGTCTACTAAATGTGTTTATCTTTACTTGAGAACCGTAGCAAAATATAAACAGTGGTTTGTGTGGGTGTGTGTGTGTATGCAGATTGTTTTTTTTATAACTCAAAAGTTGCAGTAATATGCCTTATTAACTACAGGTTATTGGCTGGTTATTAAGGAATTAAGAAATAAGATCCTTGTGAAATTCAAGATTACAATGTGAGACAGAAAACTAATAATATTTTCTGATGTCCATTTCTAACCCAAAACATTTCTATGTAGTACTTCAACCACTATACTGAACTGTGGTTCTGTGTCAGTCTTATAAGCAACTCTGAAGTAGGTATTTAAGTACCTAATGCATTACTATGGAAGGCTGCCAGCTAGTGAACCTGATGAAAAAGCAATAAAGTGACTAGAGATATCCAATGACCATTGTAAAGTGTGGTATAGCATCGCCCCTTTGCCAAACATCTTCTGTTGCAGGGAATGAAGCCCAGGAGTTTGGAGGCAACAGTGGTCTTTGCTTGCACTGATGAGGGTTCAGAAACAGCCCCTCTCACCACAGAGATGTCTGGTAGTTAAACTTGATCTTCAGGAGATACTTCATGTTTATTTGCGCTACATCATAGACAATGTACCTAGAGGAGCAGCGGTTAAGGAAAACAATGACTATACAGATAATATCACCAACACAGCAAAATAATAGGACGTTTCACACCAATTACAGTGTTTATTCAATGTAAAGAACAATATGCACCGACTAAGTCTTGCACGCTTCTACTAACTATTAAATAATCAATTGTATGGCAAAGCAGGAAAAATGTGTGGTAATTTGGCAAAATTATTATTAAATTCATAAACCAGGTGGTCAGTGTTAAAGGATACTCGTTGTACAGCAGACTCGTATCATCAATGTTAGTGTGGGTTCCTTTTCCCAGAGGCACTTGCACTCCTTCTAAAGTGGCAGCAGCACTTGGATCAGGAGCAGTTCTACCCAGACCTGCACAAAAAAAAAAGGTTAATGAATGAAAGTCTGAAGCAGAACACAAACTAAACTTCTATATATTATCAACAAGATGCACTTCAGTTGCAACAAGCTCGTATTTATCAAAACAAATCAGCTAAAATCACACATTATTAAGCAAATATTTCAGCACGTGGGTGTTATGTCTATGAAGTCTGTATTGCATTATACTTTATTATGTATTTACATTTAATTTGGCAGTAACAGTTGTTTCAAGATATATTTACGCATTAAAAGTCACAGCTCGCTATTGTATTGGTCTGCTGTTTAGAAATGGGTGCACCTGTTGTGTAGTTAAACATTTATTTCACTGAGACTGAATTTCTGTAGTTTTTATTTACAAATTACCACCATTTTTCTTTGTTCCCCTCACTTGTGAAATGCAAATAAATTATTTTCTCACCTTTAACACTGTGCTTGCCCTTGGGCAATTTTGTAATGTGGGAGGCCTTCTTCAGTTCATGCCTGCATTAAAACAAAAGCAAGACACATTCATTTTCATTATGACCACATATTTGCGAAGCACACAAAAAGGTTGACATTCAGGCTTTTTTTAAAAAATAACTCAGACTGTCCCTTACATGTTGCCGAGGGCAACCTCAGCCAGAAGGAGGAGGCCTACAGGGTCTGACTGGGAGGTGTGACAGTAGTTTGCACTCTTTGACACCATGTCGGCAAAGTACACACCTTTGCCGAACATGTAACCAGTCTAGGGAAAATGAAGCAAAACAGCAATGTAATACAGGACTGAACAGGAGAGAGATCAACTGCATTGTTGCGCAATAACAAATTGAGGTACAGCTTTTGGTTCCCCTCAAACTTCGACTCACCACTGGGGCCTCCGGAGGGGCAATGCGAAGACCCTGAGACAAGATACCAGCGTAGTTGGTGGTGCGAGAACCGTGCCACAGTAGCTGCCGATTGTGTAGCTCCTCGAAGGGACGGTATCGTTGGCGCTCTCCCTCTCGAACGATTTTGAAGATCTAAAATGATGAAAAAAAAGTCAAGAAACAGAGAGATAGTAATTCATACTGGACAACTATGGTACACACAGAATCAGTAATAATAAATAAAGATTTCTACAAAGTAAGAATTTGCAACATAATATTCAAATGAAGCATGTTAAAACTGTTTTTCCCCCAAAATGACTTACTTCTTGCACTTCCAGTGTGTAGGTGTTGTGTGTAGCAGCGTGGGTGTTCTTAACATATTGCATAATGATTTCAGCCTCCTCTGTAGTTTTGTCAACAACCTATGAAATAACAAATTCACACAGTAACCCTCCATGCGTAATCTCCTCCATACAATGACCATGCGGAACATTAATCTTAGTAGACAATGGGGAAAAAAATACATAATCTTGTAGTTAACACTCCTCACCTCAATCTTGGTTTTGAGTTTCTCATAGTTGATGTCGATGGGATCACGCTCATTGTCCTGGGCCCCTCCTCTCAGCAGGCTGTATGCCACTTCAATATCCAACAGGTTGTCCAGCATCTGAACTTTAGCCTGAACAGTGACGCATGTGCATGCTATGATATCCATGTATGCTCCATGCAGTTATAAAACAAGAGAGAATTATATGCGTGTGTCCTTACTTGAATGTAGTCCAGGTTGTTGAGCAGTGGTGGTTTCTTCATACCAAAGTCGTGAGGTATCAGGGTGTAGAAGCGATTGGAGAGATCCAGCACCTGGGACTCAGGCAGACAATCTGACACAGCCTACGATTAAATAAAAAGAGCAATTTGGTAAAAACGTTTGCTACGTATATCTGGTCCAATCACTGGCACGGAAGCGCTACTTACTACAAGTAATGTCACAAATCCATCACAAGAGTCTAGTGCGTCGGTTACTGACCTGCTGCACTTCAGTGAGGAGAGAGTAGGCGCTCTGGATCTGCCTCTTACTCAACTTTCCGAGGGGCATCTTCTGAAGGTCAATCTGAAGATACATGTACATATGTGGGACACAAAAGAATAATGTACACACTCAGCTTGCATTAATACCATTGAGCTAAAAGATTTAATGCACAAAAACAAAACAAACCATTATGACGTTCTATTGAAATGGAGATGTGGAATTTTCCTGTACATTGTAGTTGCTCTACTGCTGGCTTTAATTTAAGTGTAGACATGACAACACATGACAGATGGTGCTGGCTTTGGTAACAGAAACACAGGAGTGCAAAGTCACATATATCATCCTATTATAAAAACAGCTTCTCAACAAAAGCTCCCGACATTGCCAAAAGATGTGATATGATGCAGGCTGTAATAAACTAGGTATGTTTAATGTGGTTTCTCTCTCATTTGTATACAGCCACGTATGTTGCCTAAACAAAAGAAAAAGTCTTACTTCAAACTCCACCATGGCCTTCTTCATGCTCTCTACATCAAAGATCGTCTTGATCAGCTCCTGGATGGGTTTGGCCAGCTTAGACTTTGTGCCGGCGGACGCCGTCAGCCTCTTCACTGCTTCCTCATCCTGTCAAGAAATATGAAAAACGCAGAGAAAAATGAAGCCGGTCTAATAAAGAAAACATACTGTACAATATCTCCTTTATAGTTTTGTGTGTACCTGTCCGTAGTCGATCTCCAGGGGGTAGAACTTATTGGGATATTTGGTGAAGTTGGAGGAGCCCCAGTCGTTGCCCGTCTTCTCTTTGTAGACACCCAGGAAGTTGTCCAGGGCAGAGTTCTTGTCATGAAACTTGTCCAGCTTGTTGCCTCCGATGGTGGTACCCACTCTGCCCCATGACCTGAACACCCAGTACCTGCACATACATGAAGGAGTGGCTGTGTCAGAGACAGTCGAGTTAGAATCATCAGTGTAAAACAATTATTATTTCTACCTTTATGGCAATAATGGGAGAAAAAAGGAAACACAGCACCACTGCCCTGCAGCTAGGAAGCTAAGACTCTCTATTTTCTCATAAACTGACCTGAATGTACCTTTTATAACCTCTGCACCACAAAAAAAAGCAGAAAAGAAGTGAGATGATGTCCTGCCACTGACCGCTTCTGTACATCATCCTCCAGCAGCTGCAGTTTATAGTAGGAGTTAGTTCCCCTGACGATGTCCACAAGACCCAAAGTAGCACTGTACATCTTCCCTTTCTGCTCCAGGACATGAGCGCTGTTCTCCAGACCTAAAAAATCAAAATTATCAGTCAAGGTCAAAAGACCCAAAAATCTAAACAAAAATGGATGGAGAAATTATGTTTTCGATGCAGGGTACTCATGACTACCTGAATCAGGATCCACAGCAGCTCCTCCTTTGACTGTGAGTTTCATCTTCTTGGTTTTGCTACCACCTGTGACAATGTGGATGCAATCATTTATTAATATACAAATAAGCAATAAACATATACAGTCCAATGCTATAACACAAGTCTAGCCGAATCACCCCTCTAAAACATTTAGATAGACATCTATAAGCACATCTGTTACCTTCCTCCTCCTTCACCCTGCCGGTGCTCTTGGCAGCCAGCGCTCCGGACTTGGTGGCCGCAGATGGGGCGTTAGCTTCGACTTTGACCTCTGCACCCCAGGGCGAGATGGCGTGCAGGGAGACCAGTTCCTGGAGGGCTTTACCCGACGACTTGATGTCTGTGAGGAAATCCTCGGAGACCACACGCACGCCTGCATCCCTCACTTCCTCCATTTTCTTACTCATCTTCTCCACCTCCTCTGAAAGAAGATGTAACAGTGGGATTTGTTACATTACACATTATGAAATAAGACAATAAGACAATATATTCCTAAATTTGATTCCAGAAGCTTTTTTTTTTAAATTAAAAAAAAGGAACTGAGGGCACTGACTTGCCCACTTATTGGTAATTTTTGTGATTGGTTACTTACTCTTGGTGCTGAGGCAGACTGAGGCCTTATTGGCTGTGCCGGTAATCTTTCCACCCAGCTCCTCTACAGCAGCCTTTAGATCATCCTTGTTCTTGGTCAGCTTACCCACAGCCAACAGTTTCATACCAGTAAGAGGTTTGTCTATGAGAGGAAAAAAAAAAACAATCACCACATAAAAGTTCAACAAACGCATCCACTGAATCAAACCCCAAACTCAGAATACAGAGAGGATACAGGTTTCTTCACCAACCTGCAGGGGCCCCCTCGGGCAGTCGCTCAGTCGGGGCACTCGATGCACTTGCCAAGGGTTCTGCTTTGGCCACGTTAAGGGTTTGGGTGGGAGCCTCCTTCGGGTAAACCCTGTCCTGCCGCTTGAACTTGAATTTTTTCAGGAAGGGAACTTCATGGAATTCCTAAAGTGATAAATCCACAAAATATACAAGTAATAAAATATGGCAAGAATATGTAGCATGTTCTTGGCACATTAGCAGCCACTGATTGAATACCTAAAGGAGACTGAAACCAGTGAAAACATTTAACATGAACTCAGCTGCTATATGAAACCGCTTTCATGTCATTATAATGACATGAAGTCTGCTCACAAGCCACTGGTGATGATTTAGCTTGGAAACTGCTGCTCTATAAAGAACTAAAAAAGGAGCCTTGAAATGAGGTGACCTACCTTGGGGATGACCCAGTCTTTGCGTTCGGGTGTTGCGGTTTTGAACACACACTTCGTCCAGGCTGATATGTCCCCGGTACAGTAGTAAGCATCGCCCTTGAACACCAGCTGGCCGTTGCACTCCTTACAGGCCTCTAGAGCGCCAAAAGCCATGCCGTCAGAGAGGCAGTCCACCACCTACAAAGAGCAGTCATTTTAATTAGTCAGCCTTTTCAATGATGATTCATTTTGAATCTGGTAGGAGTGAAATAAGACGAGGTGGTCTTACATTTGATTCTCCGGAGGGAACCTCCTGGCCATTTGCAATCAGCAGCTCTTTCATATCATTGGTTGAACAAAACTTCTTCAGCTTGTCCTTGATTCCCCAAATCAGCTGGCTTTGGTTCTGTAGATGCACCAAAAAGCAAAAAATGAAAACCGAGGAACATACTAAAAAAGATAACATCGCCAAACATGTGATGTTTATTCCAAAATAGGAAATAAAAAGTACCTTCAACTGCTCCTCAAGCTTCTTCTTCTGATCATCCTCCTCCTTCTTCTGTTTCTTTGATACTCCGTCCACATCATCAGCTTTACGCTTTCTGTTAGAGCAAGCACAAGTTCCAAATAGTTTTCTCCCAAACTTTTGTTGTTTTGTTAAATTAACAATTCAGCATGAACAAAAACAAAGGGCTGAAAAACATCCAAATTAACTTCCTAAATGAGGCCAAAAGGGACACTGAAAAAACGCCTCAGTGTGACACCTTTATTCATTAGGCAAATTCATTAGGGCCCCATCAGGTAATGGACACACGTGCACACAAGCAGGAACATGTCTCCATAACCCCAGGTGTCAGTGCTGATATCATCCACCCTGCCCTGACAAGAGACATTTATTAGATTCCCCAGACTCGCACCAGTACACAACTAATGACCATCCAAGTAGCAGTCGGTCTCTGTCTGATCCTTCAGAGTGCAAAAGACAAACATCTAATTTGCTCAGACAACCAGTGACATCAAGAGGGAAGAAGGGAGTTCTATAAAACAGCATCCTGCAGATTTGTTCAAACAGAAGTGAGTTTGTGATCTTCAACGTGAGGACAGGCGTAGAGTATCAGGGCGCCTGCTGTCAGAATAACGGCGATGGAGGTTCTTCAGTAATTCTACTAGTTTTCAAAACTGCTGTAGACTGGTGAGTAATTTTACTGCTACTTGCATTTCATCGCCCTACTGAGGAGCTAGACTTCTAACTTGAATATGATCTGATGATCTTTAGGACAACCATGGAGAACACCACTGCATTGAACCTCTACACTAAGTCCTCCGCTTTCCTGATCTCCTCAACTCCTTCCTCCTCCAACACCACCTCCTCCCTACCTTCTCCTTCACCTCCAACCAATGACCTGGTGATTTCCCCTAATGTGGCGTACATGGCGGCAGAGCTTGCCATCGCCTTTCTCTCTGCGGCTGGCAATTTGCTGGTCTGCGCTGCCGTGGGCCTCAACCGCAAGTTACGCACCGTCACCAACTACTTCCTGGTCTCGCTTGCAGTCGCTGACATCTGTGTGGGCGCGGTCGCCATTCCCTGCGCCATCCTGACAGGCCTCGGCTTGCCACGTCACAATCTCTACCTGTGTCTGCTCATGTTGAGCGTTTTAATCATGTTGACCCAGAGCTCCATCTTCAGCCTGCTGGCAGTGGCTGTGGAGCGCTACGTGGCCATCTTCATGCCCTTCCGCTACCAGGTCCTGATGACGTCTCGCAACGCTGTGTTAGTGATCCTGACCACGTGGCTGCTGGCCTTTCTCATTGGGCTCGTGCCTCTGATGGGCTGGCACAAGACACCACCTGATTTGGGCTACTGTTTCTTTGTCTTGGTGGTGGACATGACATACATGGTCTACTTCAACTTCTTTGCTTGTGTGCTGACCCCCCTGGTGATCATGTTTCTCATCTATGCCCAAATCTTTGTCACCGTCAAGCGGCAGGTGAGGCGCACCGCAGCCGAGCAAAGCGGCAGAGGGGAGGGTCAAGCGAGGGAGGCAGCCAGCATGCGCCGAGAGGTGAAGACTGCTACTTCACTTTTTCTGGTTCTGTTCCTCTTCACAATCTGCTGGATCCCGCTCCACATAATCAACTGCTTCCTGCTGCTCTGCCCTCGCTGCCCCATGCCACTAGAGCTGCTGCTAACTGCCATCATCCTGTCACATGCCAACTCTGCTGTCAACCCCTTTCTGTATGCGTACACAATGACAGCTTTCAGGGACACCTTCAAGGCAATTTTCTTGTGCTGCAGGATGGTGGAAGACAGAGAGGCTTCAAATATAGCCAGTGGTGTTGACAGAGAGGGCGCAACTGTCCGAAAAGCGCGCCGGACCTGACCAGGCTTGCGATCCCAAAATCCCCACATTCTTACCAAACTACCGGCACCCAACCTGCTCAAAAGAATATTTTCCCTTCTTTGGCGTCTCACCCTTCAGTTTTGACAGCAGGGAGCCTCTTCTTAAGTTCGTCCTTGTCTTCTGCCCGTAGTGTGTTGAAACCCTTCAGCTGGGCGGCGCTGTATTCAGACTTGAAGGCCAGTTCTTCCCTACGGCTCACGAAACACGCAGTGTGGTACCAGCGGTCGATCAGACCCAGCTGGGGCTTCTCTGGGTCCACGGTTTTCTTGGATACACGGATCTGATCCTGAAGCAGAGGCCAGAGGATCAACAGACTCAGTGACACAATACCATTCAAACTTGCATTTTATCTAACATCACATTGAATAAGTTGATTGTATTTATTATTTTTAGTTAGTAGTAATTGTTGCATTCGAACAAACAATTTTCCAGTATGTAAAGAAAAGTGGCTGCTGACCTTTTCTATTTTCTGCTCACAGCCTTTGCACGTGCTGCGGTTTGACTTGGCATATTCAACTGCAAAGTCATTCAGTGTCTTCTCTCCTTTAGCTCCACTCTTCTGGTCCCCTTTTCCTACAAGAAGGAAGTCAATTAATCAGTAATCAAGTTAAAAAAAAACTACTAATATATATATGCACTATTTCTGGAGGCTAAATAATATTTATCAGAACACTACCACAAATACTACAGAAGAATGTTTATTTTAACACTTGACAGGCAGTAAATGTATAGACATTTTACAAACACCTGGTGTGGTCACCAGGAAGCAAATATGTCAAACCTCTGTGAGACACTACAGTATACAGTCATTTATTTTCAATGAACCTGTTTTTGATTTTTCACAAAACCAAAAATAAACAGGGTAAATTTATAAAGCTGAGGTCCAAACAATCGTTCTTTCTTTTTCTTTTTTTTTTTTTTTTAACAGCATAGGAGAATGCTGAGTTGTTGCTGCACTGCATGATGTATGGTGATGTGTACACCACTACGTCTACTAAGCCACTAAATAAAAGATTTATAGAGTATCTATATATAAATAGAGTCCCTCTATGTATAACTGTAAAATGTTACAAGCTAAATAACCTGCATATGAAGTTAGCTGTTCAACTAAGGAGCCAGATACCTGAGATGACATTAAACCAATCAGTTATTTGCTCTATCATCACCATAAAGACACACTGGGACAGCACAGTCTGAACATGTTGTGTGTGGCAATATAATAGTTTAACAATCCACTAAGATGCAAGTCAAATGCTAAAAGTCGAGTGCTGACCTCCTGTTGCTCCTCCACTTTCAATAGCCTTTTTGACCTTCTCCTGGTCCTCCCAGCGGAGGTCAGAATACCCCCCGATATCACTGGTGGACTGAGCTGCTGCTCGCTGCCAGAAGCAGGAGAAGTGGTGCCAGTGGGGGACCTTGCCATCAAACATGGGTGACTGCCAAGAACGAAGAATAAAAACAGGGAAGATTCAGTGTTCGCTGTATGTTTACAGTGACGCAGTGGTGATACTATAGACTTCAGTGTGAGATGATCCTGTTGAGGAACAGATCTGTGAACGGCGTCCTGACAGCTGTTCACAAGAAACATCTTCAAATGGGACATTTTATGTATTTTTCAGGACTTGTGAGGTAAAATTTTTATTTTGAATGATTTATTTATATAAAACAGATTACAATGTAATATTTGAGAAGCTCAGAGCATATTGTGCTTTATGTATAAAGGAACGATGGCACTATTATATGGTAAAAAAAAGGAGATAATTTTTGCACCACAATTTTCATTTTTACTGAAAGAAATATTAAAATCATGATGATGTGACATTTGTTGGTGTCTGTGTCAAACAAACATGTTTTTGTACATCTGAAGAACCAGATTTGTAGGCCGGGGGCATCTGTGCAGCACTACAGAAATTCATTATAACTTATAATTTTCTCATACATTTTACCTTTATCAAAAAATTGCAGCTTCTGTGAAAATTACCCATAGCATTGAACTCTATGTGAGTAGAATTTACCAAAAGTCAAAGATCTTTGTGTGCAGTTAAGATATGCAATGCAAACACGCAGGTTACTGCTCTCCATGTATTTATCTATCCTGTAAATACAGATTCTCTATGAAGGACAAAAAGAGCTAATAGAAACATTACTTAAAATGTCATAAGCTATAAAGTGTTGAACCTGTGCCCCTGCTGACTTGTGTTAAACAGGCTGACTGAAAATCTGGAGCTGATCCACAGGCCATGAATAAAGAGGCTGACTTTGTGCAGCCAAATAAGGTTTCTTAGCCTCTTAGTTAATTAATTCTCTTAAGGGCAGCAGGCAGACTTCACTTTGGGGTGGTGATGATGCTGTTGTGATTTTTGGCTTCTGGGTTGCAGACGCTCACTCAGACATTGTAACTTATGCACGGTTTTAATCTTTCAGCATAACCTCGGGCTGCATAAACATCCATCAGTGAACCTCACTTTCATGAATAGCAGGAAGCATAAACGCAAAGCTGAGAAGAATCCGACATCAACAGAGGCTCAGCGGCTCTTTGTGAACCAGACTCAATAGACAATGTCAGCCATTTAAATGCAAACGAGGGCCTAACCTAACACACCAGAAGCGACACTACAAACTACACATTTTCATCTCCAATGACTTTATCAACAGCCACTATATTCGCTGAATAAACCACCTCGTTTGAAAAAGAAAGCACTAGTAAGCTAGCTAACAGAGTACGTTTCCGCAGATGAACGGACTCCCCACGTCGCTCCGTTACCTGCACCATGATGGCCATCCTCAGCGAGTCTTTCGCGATGTTTTCTTTGCACTTCTTGCACGACGCCCGGCCGCTTTTGGCATATTCCGCTCTGTAAAGCTTGTCCTCCTGAGAGTCTGCCATACTTATTCAATATTACTGCAAAATAACACGAACTGACTTTTTGAAGCGAACTTTCTCCGGGAACCGGGGAGCCACAACAATCAATGTATGCTCAAGCAAAGAAGCGAAGCCCGCGTGCCTGCACGGCGGATGAGAGACGACACAAGCGAAGAGCTCTCACTCCGCCGCTGTTTCCTGATACCAAAACATCAGCACACTGGAAACTTATTGAACCAGTAATGGTGTTTTTCTATTAACTTCAGCGTTGGGGAGTTACGTAAGTTAATTACAAAATAAATGTGACTGTAATTCATTAGCGTTACATTCATTACAGCGCCACTCATCTGACAGTTAAACTGTCTCTCAAGCTGTCTTTTGAAAATGGTTAACAGTTGAAAACATTCATTAGACATTAAGAGTCAAAAGGCAAGTAAATGTCATATGTTACATTGCTTTGATAATGTAATTTAAATAGTTACAGTACTATCACATTTTAAATATGGAAACATGTTACATTTCCAAAGTAACTTTCCCAACAATGATGAACTTTTATGATTGAAATGTCCTCCATATAGGCCTTGCAGATGAAATTCAACTTGAACGCTCAGAGTTGCATGTTGAGCAATTTACTTAATTAGCACAATTAGCTCATCACCAATATTAATGTACTGTAAGTAGAATTGTCACAGACTTCAACTTTATTTTAATGGTAATGTACTGCATAGTGCATATAAAATATTAAAAAAACATTTCTAGCATCATCATAAAAGTTCACAGGAAACAACATTGCATGGCTCATAGACCATAGAGGTTTCCACTAGACTACTAAATAATTATTTTGACTTTACCAGAGATTACAGATCCAGAGGTGGGACCAAGTCATTGTTTTGGAAGTCCAAGTGAAGACAGGAAAGTCCCAAGTCAAATCCCTTATCCTAAACTCCAAGTTTCAAGTCCTAAAGTAAAAATATATGACAATCAAAAACAAGCTACCTCACACTGATTTGACTTTGCTGCATTTCTTGTGAGCAACGTGTTTTGCCAATTGCTTCTAGAGGCTCACATATTGCACGTGGAATTTGTTTTAATAATATGTAACATTTACACAAATCATGAAATTAAAAAAAGTATACGTTAAAACAAGTTTGTTAAAAAAAATATTGACTTTCATAGCATATAGCACTGCTAACTAGGTATGTCAAAAGGTCCAAGTCATTGGCGTTAAAGTCCAAGTCGAGCTGCAAGTCTTTGATTTTGTCAAGTCGTCAAGTGATCAAAGTTGTGACTTGAGGCTAAAATCATGTGACTCGAGTCTACACATTCACAATTACTAATGGCTTCAATTAGTTTTCTGAAACCAGAGGATCAAGCTTCAAGCTCTGATTTAAATGAATAGGATGAAGCAGCATATCTACAAAGTGCAGGTGTGCCTTCCTTTTGGCAGCAGTGATTCAGGGTCCCAGATGTGGATTGGTACTCTGCGTATGCTAGTAGTGAGACACTGAAACAGCATTTAGAGAGACAAAATTTACAGAAACTATGTATTTTTTTCATAGTTTTTTGACTAGGTTAATATTTCTTAAATAGGCTCATTTCAAACCTTCAGTTATATCTAAACATCTATAAAGCTAATAATTATAAAAGTTGATCTGTGCAGTAGTTACGTTTATTCTTCTGAATCTGCCTCAGAAAAAAATTAAGTAGCCCACTAGGAGTTAATGCCTAAGACTAACCCAATTTTCCAACTCCAGAGTGATCCATCTTTCGCGATAGACGATCAACGAGTCAGCCGTAGAATACCCGCGCGAGCAGCAGCCACAACTAATCGAGTGAAGAGAAACCATGCAGACTGTGACAGGAAGGAAAGGCAGAGGCAGTGCTCATAGGGGAGAGTCGGGGTGATTTGAGCCTGTGGGGAAGTTGAGCCACCCCTGGGCTGCGTCTGAAAAGTCAAACAAATCTCCTTTCCTTACGACTTTTCCTTGACCTCGATGGAAAACATCATGAAGTCAAGGAAAGATGTGAAGGAGAATTCATAAGGACTTAGGAAAAGATGACCATGGGGCTCAGAGAATCTGACTGCTCTTTTCTAGGCAACGTAATTATGCAACAGCAGATGTTACTGAGTGACCTGTCCCCTTGAAACTACAATTTTCAGAAGATGGACTACAAAAAGCGCATCTTTGACACTGCACCCCCTGTGTTTTAATGCAGGCCATCTAAAGGACAACATGGCGGAATATTAGCTTCATAATCAAGATAGTAAAAAGGCATAGGCTATAGGGTAGCCTACCAGTCACCAAATAATGGAAAGGTTTGTCACATTGAGAATGCCCACCCATATTTATCAACATGAATCCCAATTATTGTATGTAAACAGTAAACACAGTGTTTCCCACAGAATGACAGAGTAACTGTGGTGAGAGAGAGCAACTGAGCCAGCTAGAGAAGGTGCTGAGCAAATACATGCGCTGCACGCAGCTCTGTCATCAGATAGATTTTACCCATAGCCCAGTAAAAAAAACAATAATCAAAAATCAACATGTGGCCGTCAGCCTTGTGATCAAGACTGCAGCTTGATCATTGCCTTTAATTCATAGTTTTCACGTGACGTCACATTCCATGAAAAACATTCCCTCGTTATTTTCACTGCCTGCCAACCAGGAAGCAAGTGATACATGACTGACATGATTTTTTTAATTTGCATTGCCAAAATGCTGGATAGTAGTTGTAGATGCACAAATCGAGGAATAAACAAGCCTGAGCTGTGTTTGGTGAGGGATTTCCCACAAGGTAAACGTAAACATTACCGCAGTCGAGTGGCGGCAGGGACCTGCCGCTTTTTAACAATAGCAATGCGGCAGCGGATGCTGTAACATGGATCGGAAGTGCCCAACACTTGCAGATTGTGTTCATATCTTTCTTTTTCTTAAGTTGAGAGGTGATCCAAATGAATGTAACTGCTTTTCCGGCGTCTCTACGGGGGAGTCGCAGTGTGAGCCTCTATGTTGGTCTGTTGTTTTGCCCTCCAGTTACCGCGAATGTCACCTGACTGAAAACTATGAATAAGGCAAGGGTGTCGGCATCTGTGACTGAAGTAAAATGAATTAATGATATTGCTGAAGGCTGGCAATACATAACGTGAGCCTACACGCTGAAACATTGTACTCACTTTGATCGTTTAACAAGACTAGTAACACAGCTCGCATGGGTCTCAGTTATCGTTGACAGTTCAAGACATGCAAAATACCAACTTATGGCATAAGAGAGAAAAGGCTTGATAGCCAATGGTAACTTGATCAACATCTTTTATCTGTCATGGTCGGTGAAGAGTCCACTTTTTTTTGGAAAACCATATTTTGAAAACAGTTTATTTTAGATCCTAATTGATTATTCCCAGGGATGCACCACATCCTAAAATAAATGTACATATTTTAGTTGGAGACTATCGTGTTGTCACGTTAAAGACACCTCAAGTAAAAACTGGTTCAACTCACCCCACTCTCCCCTACTGGGAACACACTTGAAATCATTTGAGTAGAGAATAATCAGTTTTATAACCTTATTTCGTAATTGTAAATAGTCTATATTTCCCATGGTACCTACTGGACCTCTCACATACCCAAGCTTGAGTTGTCCCTTTGCTGTTTCTTTAACAGGGCTTCAGCTGATGTAGCTGATCTGCTTGGCTGGAGCAGAAAGAATCCTTTTCCTGGTTTTTAAAAATCCTGTAGGTGGTGCAGGAAAAATTACCCTGCTTCTTGGTTGCTGACATGTTATCATGCACAGCTTCTACTGGAGGACACATGTTTTTACTGTGATATCCAGAGACACTGACAGTAAACTATAAGCCATTACTTTACAAAACACCAACATGTGACAGAATGTTGCCAGAATTAATCGTATGCACAATTAAAATGAAATAATACCACTCAGATTTGTTGTAATTACTGGTTTTATTAGCAGAAAGTGTAAACTGTGAATTTTTTTGTAAACAAACAAAGTTTCATTATAGCTGTTACACGTAACATTTCCAGAATGCCAAACATTTAGAAACCACAGCCTTCTTTTAAATACCCAGCCCAGAAAGAGCGTAAAACATTTGATTTTCTAACATTTAAGTTAATCTCTTTTTGAAAATGTTTTAAATAACTGTATAAAGTCATCTGAAAGTCCCATAGTGGAGCTTGTCATCCTTTAGCTGAAATATAAAAAATATAATAATTTACAGTGACAATGTTTTTTTTAACATTGACAATAAGCATCGGGCCTACATTATAACGTTTTATTATACCATTATTACATCCAAATATAACCCTTTAGTATACAAGAAGAGGGGTGACATGGAAGAGGGTTTTGGCATTAAATTGGTTCGACAGTTTAAACACTCAGCTCTTGTTGAGCTTAACTAAACTTAAACTTAACTAAAGTGATGGAAGTGAATGTAATAGTGTACTGAGGCAAAACTGAACTGGCTGCAGTGGAATTTGTCACATTCAGAGTTAGACAAAAAAATCTCAGAAATCCAGAGCAACACTGACAGTGACATGAAGGCAGACAAGAAATACCACAGAAATCAATATGAAACAAGCAACCATTGATTCATAAATAATGGACTTCTGTTTGCTCAGCTATGTTGATATAGGGAAAAACACCAACCAAAGTCCCACTAAAACAGATATTTTCAATAGCGTGGATAGCAGTAGCTTAGTAGAAATTATGCACCAGCTCACAATAGCCTACATACTGTACTGAAAAATTGTGAAAATGATGCAAGAGTAAAAAACACTGGTCAGTATTATATAGGTCAGTATATGTTTTTTTTTTGAGGTAGTAGGTTTGGCTTATAGGTCTGAGGACTTGCTGGGGTCTTATCCCAGCCAAAAAACACATTTGTTAGTTTTATATACATTGAACTGAAAACAGTGCTTATAGGAGTGTGTGGATATGGCAATAAAAAACAGAAACAGAAAGCAGTAACAGAGGCCAGTAGGACAGTTCTGTCCTTTATAACACCTACACCTAATATTTCTTTTTTTGGTGACAGGGAAGCTGAGGAGGACACAGTCATGAGGAAACAGGAACAAAGGATCTGGTAGGATTTGGATCCTATAGCTAACAGCTGATCTGTTTGTGCAGCTAATTTAGTTATGACAAAGTGTGAAAACGCAAACAACAACACTGTAAACCAGTAGGAACAATATGGCTGTACTGTGCAATCCTCTTAAGGTTGCCACCCGTCCCTTAAAATACGGAATTGTCCTTTATTTGAGAACTAAATAGTGGGTCCCTTTTTGAATCAATGCGGGACAGGGTTTTTCCCATATTTTCGAGTTGTCTTCAATGCATCATCCCACGTGCATTCTGTGAAGACTTGTCCTTTTCTACCCCTGATTGGGTAATACTTGCTGCCATTGTTGATTTGATTAATACCGTCAGGTTCAGGACCAATCGTAGTTGCATAAGGGCGGGTGTCTTGGCAGGGAGTCGGGTTGAAACAACAGCAGCGGCAGCGCGAGAAGCCCCCTGCGTCCCCTCTGAAATGACAGCGGATGCAAAAGTAGCCTACCGACGATGGGAGTAGGAGAAATCAAATAGGCTACTTGTCTTGAAAGTGTCAGTGGAAATGAGTATCAAGCCAAAATGCACAGTTTGACGGCCAGTGTTATGTGTGGTGCACGGTGGTCTGTGTGTGTGTGACAGCATGCCGAGGCAGTATGAGAAGCTGCCTAGGCCAATACTTTGCTTGCACATACATACATATTCTCATGCACACACATACATACTCACTTTGTGCATATATATACACATGTTCACCTTGCACACATACATACATACTTACAAATGACAGTATGTATGTATGTATGTCCAAGCGAGTATGTATGTGTGTATTTGCAAGCGTGTATGTATGTGCAAGCGGAGTATTCAATTTTGGCCTAGACGGTTTCTCATAAGGCAGTGTAATGATTTAATAAAACATACTTATTTTCTGATTGATTACGCTGAATTTCATATGCTGCCTGTTTGTTAAGAAATATTGTTATAGTGTTAATGAATCATAAGCCTACATTAAGGTATGATTTGTTTTTTAAGGTTGAGGTATACAGTCAAACACATAAGCATTAATTTAATAAGAGATAGAAGAGAGATATAGGCTATTTAATACACATTTAATTATCAAAATATAGTGCCTATATGAAGAATATAAACAACTAGCCTATGTGTTATCCTTAACCAATCTATAGAATTGCATCCTTCAACACTATAGAATTATCAATAAATATGTAAAATGTAAAAATACATAAATATACATATTTACTGACCAAATAGTGTTAAATTAAATTTAGAAATGGATGGTATTACTTCAAACAATGACAAATATTTTAGCTAAAATCTGTGTTCACACCACCCTTTACATTTACTCAAGTTCATTTGCAATTTCTCATCCTGTCCATCAACAGCCACATGATAAGCATCGCAGCATCCACTGGTTATGTGGAAACGATATTTTCCAGAATGACCAATAAAGTGACAGCAAGAACAGGTGCTCTGTGGAGCTCTTGATCACTCTCAACTTTGAGCAGTCCTGTTCATAGTTTTACTGTAAGTGCTGCACGAGTAGTGTACTTCTGACAAGAAAACATTTATAAAAGGAAGTAGGCCTGACATGCTACAATACTGCACACAAGGCTACTACTTCTAATCCACTGATGTTCATGATGTTTAAGGAAAATACTTTGCAAAAGTCTTTTCAATTGAATCGTATGAAAGCATTTGTTTTAGTCTATTACCTAACCTACAGTTATTAGTTATTAGTTATGGATGTGTTGATTTATTAAGTTAAGAAAATACAGTTCTTCTTAACGCCATTTTTTTTTGTGGTCTCAACAAATTGTTGGCCTGTATTTATTATTTTCATAGCTGTGTATTCAGCTATGACAATGTGACCACTAGTCTGTTGCACTGAGTGCATCTGTTCACACTGATTTCAATAGCAGATAACTTATTATAATATCCATTGGTATCAATCTTGATACTTTCCTGAAAACATGTTTTAAATTATGATATACCACCACTGGCACACCATCGGGCCTGTGGTTGCCGGGCCCCTGAGGGGTGTGGACCCCGCTGTGGCAGGCGTCCCTTATTTTTCTGTATTGAAGGTGGCAACTCTACTTCCTCTACCTGCAGTCATCTGACCTTAATAGGTCCCCTCAGCACTACAAGGTGCAGGGATCCAAACCGAATCCCATGCTGGCCTCTCTCATCTTTTCCTTGTGTCTGGCCTGGACGAGACTGAACACCACTCCTGCTAGCGTCAGGCGTCCTCCTGTCTGCCCCCCCGAGTGGCCATCTGTTCCAACGTTGGCCCTCTTACAGCGCATGGTGCTGATGAAATAGGTGCGGACTTTCCCCTGACGCTCGCTCACCTACAATGACAGCAGAGGTCTCAAAGTGTTGAAATTCTTTCTTAGTGACCCTCAAGATTTTACATATTTCATGCATCAATGACTCCTTCCTGAAGAGAAATGCAACTCTCTGTCTGTTGTTTCTTTTCACCAGTAGATGTCCCCCTTGATTTAGTTGTCCTAGTAACCCTAGTAGGGTTTTTTTTACACTCGTCCTGTTTAGTAATTGCTTTCTCTTGTGTCTGGACCTTTCAAAGTGGTCCACTCCTAATCCCCTATAGCTACTCTGACTGATTAGTCCTTTTCTCTTGATGTTAAGCACAGCTATACTGTTATTGTGTTTAGGTGACAGTCTTTTTTCATGGCATGTACTTTTGAGCTTATTTCTACATGTGAACTCTGAGCAATCACAACATTTCCAATAAACACTTTGCATGTAAAAGGAGCATATATGAAGACATGCGTTTTCTGAACCTCTGCCCGAGAGTCTGGCCATTTTCATTGACAACAGTTTCACTAAAGCTTTGTCTCTAATGTCTCTGCACATGCCTTACCGTCATTTAAGAACTTCACTGAACCTGACCAAATCTGACTGAACTTTGTGCTATCCACAGTATTTTGGAAGGTGGTCACCCAAAAGGTTCTCCATCGCACTATACTTATGTTTAAGGGTAAATGACAGTATAACGGCAACAGGACATCTCTATCCTTCTGCCACTCACCCCCTTGACAAAGATTTCTCCACGTAGCTCCAAGATGAAACCCCATTCTGACAGGACCCTGCGCGTGGCCTCGGGCACCTGGATGCGTCCGCTTACCCCTGTGCTGTCCATGCGGCTGGCCAGGTTCACTGTTGACCCCCAGATGTCATACTGTGGCTTGGTGGCACCGATCACCCCTGCTACCACCGGTCCATGGGCGATACCTGTTTCAGTGCGACACAGACAATTAGCTCACTTAAGACATATAATGAATTAGTAATACGTTTTTTTCTCTCCTTCAACCATCCACTGTGTGAGCGTCTATGTGTAAGAGGTCAGCCACTTACCGACACGCAGCTGAAAGTTTTTGGCAGAGAGCCTGTTAATCTCTTTCAAGGTCTCTTGCATTGCCAACGCAAACAAAACAAGCTCACTCAGGTGATTCCATTCATCCATAGATGCCTGAGAGAGAGAGAGAGAGAGAGAGAGAGAGAGAGAGAGAGAGAGAGAGAGAGAGAGAGAGAGAGAGAGATATGGATTGTTACATATGGGGGGGGGGGCAAATGTAGACAAAACACAAAATAGCAGAATGTGTGCAAGAGGCTCTCCCACCTGTTTGTCTGGAGCTAAGCCGGAGGCAGCCATGTAGCAGCTCCCAATGGTCTTTATCTTCTCCACATAGCAGAAGTACGACTCCTCCAACAACTTTTTAAAAGAACCATTAACAGATAAAGAGGTAAAATTACAGTACCATCTCACATGTTGTAGCAATCACATTTTTCAATGGCACGTCCAGGATTAAACTCCACTGTCCCTACCTTATTTATTTCATACCAGCTAAGATGGCAGGTAAAACCCAAATACCACTTAAATATACAACAGATTAATGTACTAAAAACATATATTTGAAAGATTATATAAGATTACCATAAACTTACTATATATCCACACTAAACAACTTTGCACGTTACCCTTCAAAAGCAGTACCATACTTATATGTATACATACTGTATATCACTTTATTTACATAGTGAAGTGTCAAAAAATAATCAGAATCTACTGAAGAGGGCATACTTTAGTTTCCAGTCCCATACTTACCTCATCGAAGCCAGCAATGATCTCATTCAGAAGTCGGAGGCAGTCCACTCCCTCATGTTTGATCTCTTTCTGCTCAAAGTACTCACTGAAGCCGGCGATGGAGGCAAACATGACACCGACTTCATCATAGGACTGGGAGTAAAGCTCCTGAAATGAAAATGGTGTCATGCACTTTTCATCCTAACAGGGTGTTCTTAAAAACCTCTTTGTTTGACTGGTGTATAGACTGATTTATTCAGTATGACGTTTAGCCATCAAGTTAAGAGGTCAGCTGTTATTCCCAATGTAAAGCCGCATGGATAAATTACAATAAACTGTACAAATGTGTGAAGGCATTTAGGAAAGAACGCTTAAAAAGTCCAGCCAAACTAATGAAAATTAGATTGGTGAATTCCCCTCCCATATAATGTTTATTGCCAAACATTTCACCTAAATTGTCTGTATAATATACAATTAAGTAATTTATTTCAATATTCAAGAAACTCAAAAACACTGTTTAAACCACAGCAACACCAACTATATTCTTATATTTATAACTGTCCAATCAGAATTTAAAATATATAATCCTCAAATACACCTGGATTATTCTCCCCATATTTATGTGCTCCCCTGATAAAAGCAATGAAGGAAAAATCATTTGAGAAACCGGCATTGCAGGGAGAGGCTGATACAGTCCAGTTGAGGTCATGTTTTCCGCACCTCATCATTCTTGCTCCGGTCCAGAAAATGTCGCGCCACATGCAAAGGCAGGATGTTGTGCAACAGACACTTGTTGTGTTCCCGCAGTTCCCTCATGTCCTCCACTTCCTGTTGGGCCTGCAGACGCCACAGGAAGTCCAGTCTGGCAGTGGCCTCCCACTAGAAAGTAAATGATAGATAAAACTATCAGAGGTCACCTCCCTGTGTGCGACACACTCGTTTAGCCCATCCACTCAGTCAACAGATTTGCTCACAATAATGCAGATTAGAAAAATGAGAAAACCAACATCAAATTAAAAAAACTATAAGCAAACTAAACTAAACGTACTGTACATAAAAAAAAATGTCAGTGAGTTTAACAGTACCTGCCGTCCATTGTAAAAGACAGCAACAATAAACATGGCCATGAGAAGGATGGACACTCCTTTTCTCCTGACATAGTGAGACCTGTGCAGAAGTTCATGATGAGAGGTGGAATAGTGAGGTGTAAATTATGGTAAATTAAAGTGATGTGACTAAAGACATGTTCAGTACAATAGGAAACACACAAAAAAAAAACCTGTGCAGCATATCGTGGCGTGCGAGTGTGAGGAAGGCCAGGTGGATGAGGTAGGAGTAGACAGCCACCGCCAGCAGCAACACCGCCAGCTTCAGCAGAGAGTTCAGACGCAGGAAAACGGCACAAGTCACCATGGCAATCACTCCACTCAACGCAAAGATCTGACGGGGCGGAGGGAGTGAAGAAGAGGTTTGAGATGCTAAAGAAGAATGTTTTTTGATCACTTTCTTGAAGTAAAAAACAATAATTGGGTGAGATAACTTTTAAACAAGAAAATGTGATTTTTATTCTGTTATTTTATACCAGTCTAATTGTTTGTGATGACAGATAAAACTGCTGTTGTCCGTACCTCGGGGTAAGTGCAGACAGTGAGTGGACGTGAGGCTGTGTTTGTTCTGTCCCTTACATCTGCCTCTGCGGTGTCTGTGTCTGTGAGAATGCACCATACCTGGACACAAAATATACATAAAACCTTTGATAACTAACAAAAGCCAGGAAGACAGAGAATCACAATATAACAAATTCACATTTCATGTTTAGACATATTAAAGATGTGAGCTGTTTTTTGTATATTTGGTTATTTTGGATTCAAGTGCCAATCAGTGCCTGAGAGTGTAGTTTGCTTGTCATCTGAAGGCCACTTTATAAGTTAGCAGGGAGTTTGCTCTCTTTCATGCATATACTGTTTAGTGTAGACTTTCACCATGTCAGTAGAGACCAAGCCAAAGTTGATGACGATGGCTGCGATGGTGAAGACGTTGCGGGCACTGTTGTTTTCGTGGATCCAGCAGCACAGTTGCTGCAGCGCCGCAGGAGTCCACTTGAACTCTTCAGCCAAGGCCAATAGCAGCAGCACCACGTAGGCGAGCAGAAAGACTGAAAACTGGAGGATGGCTGGGAACAGCCTGCCGAGGAAGAACAAGGGAGAAGGTTAAGAGGAAGAGGAAGGAAGTGAGTAGGGAAGATGTTAAAGAGGTGTTATTATGCTTATTTTCAGGTTCAAAATCTTAATTAGGGGTTGTACCAGAACAGGTTTACATTCAAAAAACACCATATTTTTCTCATACTGCACATTGCTGCAGCTCCTCTTTTCACCCTATGTGTTGTACGCGCCGCTCTTGAGCTACAGAGTGATGCATCTTACTTGTATAAAATCTTTGTTGGGAGTTGCACATGTGCAGTTCCCAGGTAAGGACTACTAGCCAATCAGAAGCAGAGAAGGGCGGGTCGTAAGAAACAAGGTAGTGTGATCCAAATCAAAGCTGCTTCAGACTGCGACCGTAACCTAGCAGATGGTATAAGTTACTCACAAGTCCACAACCACACAACATCATTGTTCCACATCTTACCATCAGGACTAAACGTTGAACTGTTGCCGGTGTTCTGACGATCTATGCTGCCTTGCCAAAAAATGCTACCATAGCGCAAATCGATAGACTCGACTTGGCCCTGCTCCGTTTTCCATTGCTGCAGATAATACCAATAGTACCGAAAGATAGTACGTAGCTTGTTGTCATAGCGATGCCACCATAGGACGCCACACACAACTGCCGCAACGTAATGTTCAATGCGACACACACACCAGCGATCCACACAACTTTCTCTTTTTTAAGTTAAAACGTTTCAACATTCCTCAGAATGTAAAGACAGATAAGCGGTATGAAAACCTTCCAGCCGTTGTTGCTGCAGTGGTCCGTGTGACGGCGGGAGCAGAGGGCTCCGTGAGCGGGCGGCTGGCCGGCCTCACGCGCTCCTCCTGCGGGTTGGCACAGGCTTCCCCCAAAGCCACTTGCGGAGCTCCTCAACTCCGAAAATATTCAAGCACATTTTTGTTCCGCCATCACTTCTCGTATTGTCAATATTCGAAATCTACACAGCTGATTTCTCACCTCAAAACTTCTCAGAAGTGGATTTAGTGATGAAATTCCATACGAAAACTGTAAAATATAAAACAACTCTCTGTTGCTGGCCTCTGTCTGGTGCAGGCAATGATGATGCAGTGAATAGTGAATATTCTCTCTGACCAATCAGCAGTCTGCTGTGTTTTCACGTTACATTTTAGTATCCCTCAGCTCGCTTGGAACCTGGACAAAGGTGAGGTGATAGGAAGAAAAGTACCTGGAAGCAGGTACAGGTACAACATTTCTACAATGGAAAACTAAACAAGGGAGAGTCCAGCCAAAGGGCCTCCGCTCAGACTAGCTTGGTTTGAGGGCGTGCCTGACCCCGCTAGCCACTTGGCAAGCTTGATGACGCGTTTTCATTGTGACGTCACAAGTAAAGGAAGCGAAGGGCTGGACTACAAACGAGCTGTTTTCAAGCAGTTCAGAGCAGAGTTTTCTGTGGGAGATGGCAAGGCAAGGCAAGTTTATTTGTATAGCACATTTCAACAACGAGGTAATTCAAAGTGCTTTACATAAAACATAAAAGCAACAGGGAAATATAAAAATAAAACAAATGGGAACACTTTGGGCTTTTTCACTTTGCAAACCTGTTACATGCACAAAAAAGAGTATAACTCAAAAAAGGAGAGGGAAAAAGCCAAAAAGCATAATACCACCTCTTTAATACATGTTGGAATGAAAAAACAAGAGGAAGTGTGTGAAATATGCTCTGATAAAAGTGTGATGTTAAGGGGATGTGGGATGAACTCCAAATAACATGTCATTATTGATACTACATCCAGATAGCATCAAAGTAACAAAAAAATTAATCCTACACATAGTGGCTTTAAAATCTAAAAAAAAGCTACCTTTGATATTGTGATGAACCCTCCCACTCTGCCTGCTGTTTGTCTTGCTCTAGTGCCTGTTTTGCAGATGCTGGTAGGAGGAGCTAGGAGGGTCGCCGGCACATACCTGCCCATATTGGTTGGGCTTCCTAGATGGCATAAAAGGACTGCTCTCTCTGAGGGCCTACTGCATCAACACCAGCCTACTTCCCTCGTTTAGTTTACTGCACCAGCCAACATGCATTACACTATATTTTCCCTCATCAATACACTTCTGACATGCCTGATGTTTCTCTTACTTAACACACCCCACTAGTTAGTTCATATATTTCATTAGTTTGAGTTAAAGAAAACTATTTTCTTTAAACGGTATTTTCTGTGGTAGGCGGTAACAATATTGTTCAGTATCTTTAAATGCAAACTTTTTAAAAGACTTTTTAATAAATGTATTATATCTTAAAACTACTATTAAACTACAGAGAATATGACAAATCATGTTCTCTAAGCTCATTTTACCTTGTTGTTGTTGATATACAGGGAACATGTCAATGACAGACTAGGTAATATTAAGGTAAAGAAAATCACTAACCTTGAACATATCAATTTCAAACTTAAAATAAAAGAGCATAAAGAAACAATTTAAATCTGATAAACTCACAAAGATGTAATTAACTAGTGCTGTGAGCTTCGACTTGGCAATGCGGGTGTCTTCCTACCTGGGCGCAGAAATGACAGTCAGGGCAGACATGAGAAAGAAGAGCATGATGAAAGAGCAGACCAGGTTGGAGTTGAACATTTCATCCCTCATCTGTGAGAACTGGGCCAACCAAAAGAGATCAAAGGAAGATCACAGTCATCATTGTTAACTTGTATTTACTCAAGTCCTCCTATCAAACCCAGTCTGAACCAGCATTTATTCCATCTAGCATTTACTTCTACCTTGTCCTCGATGTGTGTGTCTTTGAACACCAGGGTCAGTGGAGTGATGTGCTCCCTGTGCATACGCTCACTGCTTCGGACCTCAATGGCATGTTTGATGCGTTTGTTAATCTCTTTGGAGGTGGACTGCCATATGTTGGGAAGCGAGCCGTTCGTAAAGGAGGCCAGGATCTGCAAGAAAAGAATATGATAGTGTGAGAGGAATTAGTTCAGTGCAGCTGAACTTTGTCTTTTAGGGTTTAAGAACCTCAGATTTGCCTTGTGCCATTAGTATTAGTACTGAAATTGTTTACTACTTGGGGCCAACAATAGAATACTTTTAAAGATAACACCTTCCCTCTTTTTTGGTATCTCTCCACCTACACTGTTTGTGTCAATGGCGATCCCAAAGGGCATCTCTGGGTTCCAGGTTCGATTGGTTTTCTGGACTTTGGGGGGCTGACTATGGTCAACTTTGTTCCTTTCCTCCTGAGGGCAGATGAGGAAAGTGTCGATGTTGTGTTTGAGCAGAAACTCGTTCCTGTCACGGCCATGACCATCTTCTATCTTATAGGTCCCTTCCAGACTGTCCAGAGTCGCCCTTGAGATGTGGATGCGTCTGGATGAGAGAGAAAATTATTGGTGATGTACAAAGAAATGCTCTCCCAACATAATGATAAGAAAGTACTTATTTGCTAGCTTTTTATATACAAGGAAGCCCAAGACTAGACAAGCCTGCAGTCTGTCAAGTGTCATCTAATGCAGAAGATGAATATTTGGATATGTACATGTTCAACAATTTTCAAAATCTCTAACATTGTATTAAATGAAAAAGCAAATGTTTGTCTAATTGAGGGTCTGCAACTTTGTGAGGCAATTTAATTTCATTTTAGACCATTTTTGAAGTTTGACATTGCAACAAAACAGAACAGTAGCGATAGAGGAATAACAGTGGGATATGGATGACATAACCCAGGCAGAGATCACATCTGTTACATCAAAGGGCTACTCTTTCATGTAACACATTAGCTAGTGTCAGTCACTCACCCTGGTACGCCCCCAGCCTCCAGCATGTTGGCAATGCCCACATCCCAGGACCAGACGTCAAACTGCCATTTTTGCAGGCCTAGCACCCCGCACAGGACAGAGCCAGAGTGGATCCCGATCCTCATGTCCATGTCAAAGTTAAGTTGCTTCCGTATGCACCTGGTGCCAGTGGGTAGCAAAGTAACCATATTAGTGTTGACAGCTATTATTATCAATCATATTTTCCATTGAGCTTTCACATTTCTAGTCAGAATTCAGGAGCCCAACAGTGTATTTCTTTCTGCACATAACGTACATGACAAAGAAAACTTTCTACTAGTTTTTTCTTACAGCTGAGCTAAGTTTTATTGGCTACAGACTTTTTCTGAATATGATTTGGCCCAGACACAGAGTTGTATATGTTTGAAATTTTTTTTATCATTCTTGATGCCCTCTCTTGAAATGCAAAAGTAATGAAATTAAATTAATCATTATTCTTGAGGGGAATGATAACCCCTCATGAACTCCAGCGAGCTATGACTGACCGTATAGTGTTGATCATAGCCAGGCCCATCTCAACACAATGACGGGCATGGGCGCGCTGTGGCTCAGGGACCCCCGACACACAGTAATAACAGTCTCCCAGTATCTTTATCCGCAGGCAGTGGTGCTCCTGTAATGAGGAAGAGACAAGACACCATGGAAAAGAGAAAATAAATTGTTGATAGAATAGTCAAATATATGTTATCATAAAAGAAAAAGAGCTGTAATTCTCACGTCTGCCAGTCGGTCAAAGCGTCCAAAGAGCTCGTTGAGGATTCGAACCAGATCCTGGGCTGCCAGGTTCATGGACAACAGAGTGAAGCCCTTGATGTCTGCAAAAAGGATGCTGCAAAGAGGAGAGAGAGAGTTGTAAAAGAAGGGGTATGCTAACAGCATATAAATTTAACCTGATGAAATGTTTAGTTCCAGTAAACACATGGAAGACATGAATGTGAACTGTTTGTAATTTGATATTAAATCATTTACAACATTGAAATAAGAGCCATTCATGAGAAACTTACTTCCTAAAATCTTCATATATTAGCCTCTTAAAAACTAACATACCAACATTATGTGTGTGTGCATGTGTGTGTACCTGACATCTTTGTACTGGTGGATATAGATCTTATGAAACTCCTGAGGATTGAGTTCATCTTCTAAAGAGCTCATGTCAGCGATCATCTCCAAGGCAACAAAGCGAGGCAGGATTGACAGCACCAGACGCTCCTGTGTGGCAAAATCATAAACTCCATTTGACATTGTGTGGTGTAACCAGCTTAATGCTTTTTTACACACAAGCCAGAGCCTTTTTATGTCCTTTAACTGATAAATATTAGAAAAGATTGTACCAAGGTTCAGAGAAAAGTGATAACAGTGGTCGTAATCCAATATGTCCCTGTCTGACCTAAAGCACGATGACAGCAGTCACTGTACCTGTCTCTGGTTCTCTTGCTCTAGTTTGAGGCGACCCTCGATGCAACGTCGTGTCTCCAGGAAAACCTGTCTCTGGGCGTGGTCTGTCAGGTAGTGGATGAACAATCCAGCTGTGTTCATACCAAGGTACAGCAGGCCTTTGGCAAACACCTGGATCCAAGAGAGAGTTTGCATTTATACAATTAATATTAACCATGAAAAACCAATGTAAGTGGGGTGTAGATGGGAGTAATAATTGGTAAAATACAAATAAAGTTGTTGCCAATAATGGATATACAATGTAGGCATAGACAGTGGTTGATGAAGTACGAATACCTCACTGTAAAATTCCTCTGTTAGAAGTAAAATTACTGCATTGAAAATGTTACTTAAGTAAAAGTAAAAAATAAGTAAAAAAATTATGGCCAAAAGTAAAAGTACTCATGTAAGTTTTTACACAAAAAATACATAATGATCAAAATAACTATCAATTAACTAATGTAGGCCTACAAACTGTATAAACAGCTGAGCTATGTTTTGTGTGTCATAATCTTACTTTGTAAATAACTATTAACTAAAGCTGTCAGAAAAATGTTGTGAAGTAAAAAGTACAATACTTCCCTCTGAGATGTAGTGGGGTAGAAGTAGAAAGTGCCATTAAAAGAAAATACTTGTAATGTACAAATACCTCTAATTTGCACTTAAGTGCAGTACTTGAGTAAATGTACTTACTGTCCACCCCTGGGTGTTAAGTACGGAAGCCCTAAGCGGCCATCGATTCTTATCTTTATTTTACTCCGTTTTCCCATGATAATGGGATATTTATCTTGTGATCTCGAGATAAAGACTGTTGTTTTCTCATGATAACGAGATCATTTTCTCGTGATAACGGGATAATTTTCTCGTGAGCTCGAGATAACAAAACAGTAGTTGAACACAGGGGTTGGCAAGAACGTTTCATAATGGTAATTTCAAAGTAGCTTTTATGTCATTGATTAGCTCAGTGAGAAAAGTACATGACTTGTAATCTTAAGATTGCGAGTTCACTCCTCATAGAGAGCCGATTTAAAAACAAAATCTATTTCACATTCCTCTTCGACAAAGTTGCTATGAAAATGACTGATTCACATGCTCACAACTAATCACCTGCTGGAGTGTAGGCATCCCCGTGATTGGTCCACATTCATCAACCTATGGACTTTTCATTTCCCCATCATTCGGCAGAGGAAATTCATCTGCTTCTCATTCTGGGGAATCCATTTAACTACACATTTCCTGAGGCTATTTCAGAACCTTTGAAATAGCCGTGGGGAAATGTGTGATTGGATTCCCCTGAATCTCTTGATAACAGCTTTGTTGAAGGGAATGATTAAAAAACACACAAAAGAAGAATAAAAAAACTTTGCAAAGAGCAGGAGTCAAACCTGCAATACTTGGGATGCAAGTGCTGCGCTCTACTAACTGATGTAAACACTAATTGACACGAACATTATCATAAAGAAACGCCCCTGCTGACCCCTGTATTCAGCTATGGTTCATTATCTCGAGATCACAAGAAAATTATTATTAAATGGACATTTTGGTTTGGTACTGATAAATTTTTTTAAAAAGTCAGACATTTTAATATTTCTCAAAAAACTGTTTAGTCAGTTGATTTTCTCACCTTTCTCAAATGTACGACATCATTGTAGTGGCACACTATCTCCATCAGAAGGTGCAGTACTGAGGTAAGGGAACCTGTGCACATGGCCCACAGCAGAGGTAAGGGCAGCAGCGTGTATGTGGCGAACAATGTGAACAAAACATACCATGATGGGTCTTTTTCCAGTCCGTACACCAGTCCCCCCAGCACCTGTGTGGTCTGCGACAGCCAGCTTGCTAGGCCAGCGTAGTGAAGCCACCGTGGGGACATGGAGTTTTTGCAGGTTAACACCATGATGCACAGTGCTATGGCTAACATCATGAAAACACCTGTCAGACACCCACGCAGAGTGTCTGTGGCCGCCTCAGGGGCCTGTGCCAGGTACAGAACCAATGCGTGTAGCTTGGCAACGGCATCGATTACATTGGTGACGACCAGGGAGTTGCGTCTTTGGTGGGAGTAGTGTTCCTGGTAGAGTTTCTCCAGATCACCAGACTTGAAGGTGTGCCTCAGGGAAGGTATGTAGACTCCACGAACTGTGTGGCCCCAGTGCACGAAGAAGTCGGCATCGCTGGCGTAGTCATTCAAGAGCCCCTCATACCGTTGGATGTGCTGGTGGAACCGCAGGACTGGGAAGGGTGCACTCTGAATGTGGAGGACGGCGTTTCGTGACCCCGCGTGAGGCCTTGTCGCGGATTTGTTTGTTGATCTCCTCCATGTAGGTGTCTGTCACAAAGATTTTTCTTGCTGGCTCCACACCCACCTGTCAAACACAACAGAAATCAGGCGTATTCACTGCGACATCGCACACCTTTCTTTGAAGTTCACACCTAATGGTCTAGAAATGGCTTTATGGTGGAAAACAAATTAATTTTTGGCAACCACGCCAATACAACTGAAGTGAATAGAATTTAATTTGTGGTTCTCAAAGTATTATTTTTTTGCATATACATTTTTGTGTCAAAAATATTTTGTCAAAATTTTAAGCACCACAAATGAAATTCTATAGGCCTACCTCCATTGTATTTTATGATACCAGAACCAAAACCAGTACCCTTAAGCTGATGATACACAGAGCAACTTTTAGAGCAATCGTGCAGGGCAACGTTGCCGTCAATAGTAATGAGTAAAGATTACTACCGTACCGTTTAAAGTGATACAGATACCAATAGAGTCTTCATTAGATACCTTGGATAAAATCCCACCTGTTGAAGCCATAGTAAGTGATTGGTAGCCTATTATTTTTATTGTTATGGACAAGCAAGGTTATCTATTTTATTTTTTCTTGTTTCAAATAACTGTTACATAAAGTATTGGGCAAACCTCCTCCTCCAAAAATGACAGTAACAATTATAAAACGAGAAATGAGTCTGTTTAGACCAGTCACTTAACTACACTGAAGACTTTAAAGAAGCAGACAGAGGAAAAGAGAGGCTGCACGTCCAGCCGAGCAGACCAACTACACCTGAAGTAGCCGCAGCTGCAGCCGGACGCTCCGTGGGTAAAATCAGCTGATCGCTGCTGCGCCACAAAAGCGTTTAATTGATGTGATGGAACACAGTGATTGATCAGTGACAAATGATGTGAATAGCAAGTAAAACTGTACAGAGAAGTGTTAAATGATACCAGAAGATGAAACCAACGGAAAGCCAAGCTTCTGCCGATAAACTTAAAACGGCAACGAAAACATGCCTGAGACCGCAGCCGAAGGTGAGCGGCTATTAAAATCACAGATGGACTCGGCGCGTGCAGGCCTTTTTTTTAATACAGTCTGTGGTGCAGGCACATAAGGATAAAATGCATGCTCTTCTCTTTCTTTTGGTGTGTTGCTTGCGTGTTTGGCTGCAAGCAAAACCATACAAACAACCATTATTTGCTGCGATCTGACTACAAAAATTATGAATGAAGTACTGGTTCAATTGGAGTTCGATTCCACTCGATACTGGGCTGTTTCAGTCGATACCATAAAGGTATTGATACCCATTCCTAAAAAGAGTAGGTACAAACAGCCCTTGCATCAGCATGCAACAAATCTACTGATGACTGTGGGATAATCAGTCACCTGGGCGTTGAGCTCCTGCTGGATAATGATGTGTTTTACAGCATTCTGCCACAGTATCTTTTTCCGCCGCAGCCCAGGGGACAGGGTCGCGGTCAGGCTGGTCGGCTCACGCAGCTCCATAAGGGAGGCCTGTGTCGTCTCAGCAAAGGTCACCATGGCGATGACCTTAGCTGACCTCATCTGTTGGTCTGAGATCAGGAGAAGGCAGCAAGCTGGAGAAGAGAGGTATTGTTTATGCAGTTAGTGATGAGTCAGACTTGCTTCAGGCCACAACATGCTTTTCTCACACTATCAACATAATGAGCATTAATTCTTAAAGGGGCACTCCACCAATTTTATACATAAAGTTCAGTAAACTATCCATGGGTGGTAAGACTCCTGTGCCTGTGAAAACAACTTTACACAGACTGGAGGTGTGGAGTTTAAGGATGTGGGTGTATACTAGGTGGAGAAGTTGGGGGTCAAGTTGCATTATGGGAAATGTAGGATCCAGGATTTCTAGGGCTTCGAGCTAGGGACTAAAAGGCAGAATATCCCGAGCTCTGATGCCTCGATTTTGTTAATTCCTTATTTACTATGTCTCTGGTTAGTCCCCCAACTTTATGGAAGTCCAATAACAAATTGCCGCAGTGTCCCTTAAAGCGTGTTTGGATTTATTTAACAAGTTTTGTAACAGATCTTCATTTTTAAAAACAAAACAAACAAAAAAAGAGCAAAGCCACATGAACATGCAACAAACTGAGCTAAATATCATAATTTCTGGTGTCATCCTACAGAGCCCCTAAGGGGACATGGGCAAAAAAAATCTTGTCATACCAGAAAGTATCTGGTGCTCACGAGTTACTTTATTTTTTTCCCCATGTCCAATTAGGGGCTCTGTATCATCCTCAGTGTAAAGTAGGCCTAGTTAAATTCAGTTCACTTTGCATTTTATTATTTATTATTACCTTTTTTGAACTTTAACCCTTGAACTTTAATACATTACAGTATGTTACAGTACATTGCAGAATTGTAATTTCATTGGAATATAAGATATACAAGCTTTTAACATATTGCTGTTTGTTTCCTTTTTGATTATTGCTGATTTAAGATAACCGCTTATCCACCTTCTTATTTACCACTGCATCATCTCTACAACTTCCATACTGTTCCTATCTACTCTATTATATGCTTAACCAGGAGAGCCTTTGCCATTTTGTGAGCTTGAATAAACAGCAATTGATTTTATAGCCTTTGTGGCTCCTGATATGATCTACTACTTAGGCCACACAGCACATTGTCCGACCAGATAAAATATATATTTCATATATATATATATATTTCAAATCATATAAAAGGATATATATATATATATATATATATATATATATATATATATATCAAATCATATAAAGGATCTTTAATATTCAAACCCTTTTTAATATGATGTTGTATGCGGACAGAACTTATGGTGGTTAACGTTATGGTGCACACATTCTGCATGGTGAAAAGAGCCACCTGGAAGGCTTCACGTGTTGACACAGTGTGTGCCAGAAGGAAAACAAATAATCTGGTGGCCAGATTTAGACCTGAGCTGTTTAATGCCCAGAGTTAAACTCCTCCAGGTCCATCTGGCTCTAAATGCTGCTGTCCCACCCACTCACAGTCCACTGCCACCAGTCTCATTCTCACTGTGCATCCTCACTTCACATACTGGATATGATAAAGCACTTATTATTAGAAAAGCTGCCTTTTTAACATCATGGCAGCGGAAAATAGTGTGAATATTTTCAGCTGTAATAATTTGAAAATAAAGAGATATTTATTATATTTTAATACATTAGCTATTTGAATTTAGGCTCCCAGTACAGTATAGTCTACACCTATTCTCGGAAAACAAGAGTTATGTAGAAGCAGAGTAAGGATTTCTGGCACAACTTCACTTACTGTGCTTAGGGTGCGTGAAGAAGAGAAAAAGCCCGAAGAGGTAAAACTCCAGCAACACTTGTAGTATACCAGTACACTTTAATGTCAGACCAACGTCTTTCGGCTTCTGGCCTTCATCTGGGTCATCCTGAAACGCATTGGTCTGACAAACAAGAGTTGTGTACAGTTCCAAAACTGACCTGTTTTGTTTTACATATTGTGTATCCGCTCTCCATGTCCAGAATTTGTTGTAGGATATATTTGGCCAGCCCGTCATAATCCACTTTTTCCATCGCACGGGATTTGTATGTGGATGTGAAAATTAAGGCAGAATCCATGAAAGGGAAAATTAAGTAGTCCCCACTGTGATGAAGAGTCTAAAACTGATGAAGAGATGGGGATCAAGGTCCAGCCAAGATGTGTGGCGGAGTCTTTCTGACAGGATTGTAGGTCACCAGCTGGACTGTTTTGAAATGAAGTCAACAATTGCCATGAAGCAAAGCCTCAGGAGTGAGGATTGCAAAGAGGATTAGTTAGTCAGCAGCCACTCTCACTGGCCTGCAAAGCTGAGATCATTGGCACCAAGACAACGCCAAGATAAATGCAGTGCGCTCAACCTTTTGCCAAGTCGGCCGGATCTTTTACAAGCAGGGTTGACACTTAAATTAAACAGTATTACGATCAGTGCTTTTTCATAATGCTCTCTCTTTGATACACTCTTTCTTTTTCATTTACTCAACTCCCATTCTACCGTCACCATAGATAAAGCTTCCTGCCTCTATATTGCCTTCATGCTCTTGGTTATGTCAGTGTGTGCAATTAGAGACATAATGGTAAATAGTTACCGAACAGCCTACAAAACCAGACAAATCCCTTCCCACCTGGTAACAGCACCCTGAGGTGATTCAACCGCAACTAGACCCAAATAAAACTGCCTTCACTAAGCATTTAAATTAAGGTGTTTCTACAAGGCATAACAGGCTATCTGACCAATGTTTTGAAGAAGAAAATAGTTCGGTTCCTTGCTGAAAAATAACAGTCCAATGGGGAAATCATTCAGGCTTTAAAATAAGTCTATTACCTGCTTCTTGAAAACAGAAAGCTGTGTTAGGATTGCCAGACGTGTCTCTATGTTTCAGCCATACAAAGAGGTTCATAAACTAGGCCTTCTGTCTGTTACATCTCTGTAATACATACACACTCAAACTAATACAATTTCTAAAACAACTAAATTTTTTTTATCTTCCTCTTCCCCGTGAGCAAAATGTGTCGAGGCTGGACTGACAAGGCTATCAAGGCTGTTAACTGGTTCCCCGTGTTTAGGTTCAGTGAAGTGGAATAACTCCTCTAACGACACAAATTTTTTCAAATTTATGTCATAACATTGTTATAATTAACTCTGATGAGATGAGGACCATCACTTGTATTTTCCTCTAGGCCTATATCAAAACCTGTCCATAAATCAGTATTTTAGTTTAATATGGAAAAGTTATTAGGCATATGTCATAGCTAGTTCAAGCATGTGTTCTGTGTTTTGGGTTCCCTTTTGTTTCATTTATTATTGTTGCTACTGTTATTTTATATATTATTTTGTTCTTTCTTTGCTCTTTCTTTCTATGAGTATTGGCATTGCTTAGAGGGGAGGTTTTAAGTTAAAAGCCCTTTGGGGTTTGTTACCTCTCCTGCACGGTTCTTGTTAGTTTATCTTTATCCATCCATCCATCGTCACCCGCTTATCCTGCGTACAGGGTCACAGCTGACATCAGGCACAAGGCGGAGTACACCCTGGACAGGTCACCAGTCCATCGCAGGGCCACACATAGACGAACAACCACTCACACTCACACCTAAGGACAATTTAGGGTCATCAATCAACCTAGACTGCATGTCTTTGGATGGTGGGAGGAAGCCGGAGCACCCAGAGAGAACCCACGCTGACACAGGGAGAACATGCAAACTCCACACAGAAAGGCCAGGGAACCGGGTTTGAACCCACGACCTTTTGCTGTGAGGCGACAGTGCTAACCACCGCACCACCGTGCCGCCCTAAATAAATAATAATAATAATAATAAAATAAAAAATAAAATAAGGGTGGCTAATCTTATGCGCAGCAAGGACTAATCTGTACTGTACTAGTGCCATTTTTGTATATAGTTTTATTTTATTAGCAGTGTGTGTCGCTGAGTTGATGGTGTATTCTAATGTGTTTTTTACAAGTTATTCTTCACCAAATGAGTTCACATGATTCACCTGTTACAGTTAAAAATGTAACTGTTAATTGTAAACTTTTAAACCCAATCATAATCACACATCAGGACAAATTGTACTGTATATTAACAAGGTAAAGAAACAAGAGAAGAATTGTCAGGGATAATCAGACACAGACCAACAAAAGAAAAATAGCAGCATGAACAACAGGTGTGTTGAAACCGACAAATATACCTAAATTTTGATGATGAAGAGCACTAGGCTGATAGCATCAGCAGGCCTGCAGTCTCTGTGGTTGTAAGCTGGTTAAAGTTTTTGAGACCTGCTTTGCTAATTGTGTCCGGGCAACGTACAAAGCCCCTAAGGCTGATCTAATAAGTATCCATCTGTCCCACAGTAACCCTGTAGTTCAGACCTTTCTTGCTGATTACCGTGCATCTAAAAATAAATGCCAGGTCTAAGGCAATTAGTTTTGCTATAATTGCCACCACATCAGCATTGTTCTGACACTTGGCAAGCATACAATAAAGCACCTTTGAATATGTTTAACATGTCACTGTCAGAGTAAATGAGAAGACCATTTTAAAACAACATTGTCTTTGTGTTCATTATGAGCAATTGAAGTTAATGTTTGTGATTCAATCTGTAATTTTATTTACTAACTATTTGGAGTGCCTGTGAACTTGTGCCCGCCTGCGGGATGAGTCTGCTAAGTGAAAAACCCCAGAAGCTAATTAGCATTAAGGCAAACCTATTTGGCTATCCGCTAATCAGCAGATTCTCAAATGCACTCAAGCCCAACCAGAAGCAGAACGGACCTTCTGGCCTACATACCTGCCGAACATTTCACTTATGCCGGACACAGACATCTATTTGGGTCTGGCAGCGTGTATCACAAACCTGCAGTGTAATCCTGTGTATATTGACAGTTGACAATGAATGCATAGTAGCTATTTTTGGCAGTCTCACAAAGCTCTTGAAAGTGGAGACGTGTACAGGTCAGTTAGGATCGAAGTGCTGAAACACTTAGATATTGACAATTTCTCATTTCCCACCAGGCAAAATCTTAAATATGTTGCATCAAAAAGATTCGCAAATCAACAAACAAACATGAATGGATTATGAGACCTAACACCTAAAAGGCCCCTTCTCCCACCAATCAGCCCCAGGCAGCCTTCAAAAAGGGAGAGCCCACATATGGCATGGTGATAGCAAGTAGTACTAGGCCAAATGTGCTCTCTTTGAAGGTGTAAAGTTAATAACATTCATATTGCCATATTCCACACAGAACATAGTTTTTATTATTCTTTTATATTTTGTATATATTGTCAATTTTAATATGTTTTATAGTTATATAGGTTTACGTTTAGTCACCAAAGCAAATTGGTATGTATGTATGTATGTATGTGTAAACCTGGCAATGAAGCTGATTCTGATTCTGAAATCACACAGAGGCCCTGGCTTGGTTCTCCCAGACTGTTGGGCCCCTGGGCCTGTCCCCAATTGGCCCCTTTAGTAATCTATTAATGCCAGCATCCTTAAATACTTCAGCCAGCTTGCACTCAAGTACAATAACTTCTAGCAGTATATCTTGATTTGACAACCACCCAAACCCTTTTGCTTTGAGCTTTAGCTTAGGCATCATTAGCTCAAAATAACTAAGGTGGTGTTATTCAAAAAGGTCACAATCAACAACCATAATAAGGGCTGAACAGATGAAGAGATGCCAGCAGCAAAAGGCATAGGAGGACAAAAATACTGTCACATAAAAGACTCAGGGATCTGATGGCTTAGTGAGGTTAACAGACCCTGGGAATTAAAGGCCTAAGTGTAGTGTCCGTTGTAGTCTGTCCCTGTCCTTTTTGGTGGCAGATCCAAACCAGACCGTGATAGAGGTGCAGAGAACAGACTGGATGATGGCTGTGTAGAACTGGATCAGCAGGTCCTTAGGCAGGTTGAGCTTCCTGAGCTGACGCAGGAAGTATGTCCTCTGCTGGGCCTTCTTGATAATGGTGTCAGTGTTGGGCTCCCACTTCAGGTCCTGGGATGTAGTGGATCCCAGAAACCTGAAGGATTCCACAGCAGACACAGGGCTGTTGAGTATGGTGATGGGGGCAGAGTGGGGGGGTTCCTCCTGAAGTCCACGGTCATCTCCACAGTTTTGAGCGTGTTAAGCTCCAGGTTGTTCTGGAGCGTTGTCAGCGAACTTCAGGAGTTTGACAGATGGGTCTCCTGAGGTGCAGTCGTTGGTGTAGAGGGAGAAGAGCAGTGGGGAGAGCACATACCCCTGGGTGGCGCCAGTGCTGATAGTCCGGGTGCTGGATGTGATGTTCCCCAGCCTCACTTGCTGACTCCTGTCAGTCAGGAAGTCTGTGATCTGCTGACAGGTGGAGGCTGGCACAGTGAGCTGGATGAGTTTGGTGCTGAGGATGTCCGGGATGATGGTGTTGTACATGTCAGATAATATGACATGTACACCAATTATGATATTTTCTCCTGAAAATAGGTTTCGATACTTAGATGTCTTGAGGCATGATTATAATCTTAGAAAAATGTCCCCGACTCACTGCTGCCACCAACTGGTAGAAAAAAAGACCTCTTGCAAAAGCAGGATGTCCTTTCCACAGATCCAGGCTGCAGAGTACTCATTTTATCATGTTTTGTTATGTATCTTAGCCTGATAGTCAGACTGAACTTCCTTTTTACTTCACTAATCATTCTTGCATAGCAGAACAAATCAGAGATGTGGGCAGCAATTTATAGGTCTGAATGGATAAATCTGTTACAGTTCAGGGATAAAATAAATGAAAATTGAATTGCAGACTTTAAATAGGTGTGAATCACTGAAGTCAAGCCAGCCTCCACTTCGAAAACGACAGTCAAGCAAGCCCTCGCGCTGTTTTGCGATGCGTGTTTTTTCTAGGCATTAGGGTAACATCGTGTCGCAGCACATTTCAAAATAAAAGTGAGCTTCAGCTGAACATAATGCAATTGATGTGGCAGAAGCGATTGAATAAATAAATAAATGCTTAAGACACCAGTATCTAAAGAAAATATTACAGTCTCACAGAAAGTTTACTACATTCAGCCAAGATTTGAACTCGTAAAAAGAAAACGTCCCGTTTCCACTGACTCATTTCACTTCACAATGACAGCAGACCACCTCAGGGAGATCCTCTGTCAATATCAGAGCAATCTGATGTAGGTTTTTAAAGTTACAGCCCTTGAAAGTGTGTAATATTTTCGCTATTCGCCAAGATTCAAATTGACGTAAAAAAGAAACTTCCTGTTTCAACTTTTAACAACTCTAGTTTAGTACCCTTTCACAGGGGCCGATGTGAAGCCAACCTGCGCTTTTGTTCAAAATGTGGTCTCACATTTGATTCACATACAGCAGTGGACGGCAAGAGGCAGCCCATGGGCCAAATTAAAGCTATCAGTGCAAGACTCCATCAAGATGAGAGGAGGTGGACTTGTTTTTACATCAATTACTCTTGGTGCTCAAACGCAGTCAAGATGGATGTATACGTGTATGTAGGCTATTTATGTAGCCTATATAAATAGCCTAATTGTAGCCTATATATTGATTTATTTTAATTAATATATTACCATATTTTAATATAGGCAGGTGTATCATGAATGAACTACAAATTTCGTTTTGTTATGCAGCCTAGTGCTGTAAAATGACTAATAACAACCTTGTACCTTTTCTCTAAACCTATGAAAGTGTCTCAGTCAAAATGTAATTCAATGTTTGTAACGTTAATATATTATTGTCGCATATATTGACATCCTTGGAGGTAAACAGATGAAATAACCTTTAATTAAAAAAACAGTGGACCTATAATGTAACACGGTAGTAAGAGCAGGGAACCTGTAGGCTATGCCTACAGAAGCTTAAAAACGAACAACAGAACAACCCGCTGACCAAGATGAAAGACAGAAAGGGGTAAAAACCATATAAGGCCTACACAGTCGACTACTAGTAGGCCTATAAAAGAGGTATTGGCTTCTGATCCTCAAACTTGAGACCTCTATTAAAATGAATGAATTATCAGAATGATTCTTTTTTGGCTGTCCACCTCCACAGTTTGTCCAGTTAGAACAATTAATGATGTTGGTAATCTGTCCAATCCAATGACACTGTCACAGTCTTTGTTCTTGTGACTTGTTTATTGTAGAAATGGAAATCTAGTATGAGCAGAGGTGTGTGTGTGTGTAACAGTAAACAGAGACTGGGACTATGTTGTTTTCTTCATTTGTTGAAAAAGGTCTTATGTTGTGAGAGTACCCTGACAATCATCTTTGAAATTTTAACCTTGTCCTTTGTAGATCCAATGTGAAATGTGTGAAAGGTGGTTCCATGAGCAGTGCCTTGCTATGGACACCAGAGACCTGAAGAAAGCGAGAAAGTCAAAGTGGAATTGCTCTGTGTGCCTGTAATACATCGCATCCCACCAATAAAGCTTGTATGGACAAGGAAGTAATGGGAATAAAGAAATGATCCAAGATACACACATATGCACATTCTGAACAATTACATATTTTTTTGTAATATATACACATAGCCTACTTTTATTTATAAAGATGTTTAATATTTTGTCTATACACATACATGTGTATATATCTGGAAAATAATGTGCAGTGTCTGTGTGTTTATATGTGTATACATTTAGAAAATGGACATGAGACTGCATTGATATTGGCTGACTGTTATTCTCTGGTGGTCAGGGTCTCCCTTTGGTGGTCGGCTGTCACTGTAAAGTCAGTGGAAACAGGAAGTTTCCTTTTTACGTCAATTTGAATCTTGGCGAATAGTGAAAATATTAGACACTTTCAAGGGCTGTAACTTTAAAAACTGTGAAGTGAAATAAGTCAGTGGAAACAGGACGTTTTCTTTTTACATGAGTTCGAATCTTGGCTGAATGTAGTAAGCTTTCTGTGAGAATGTAATATTTTCTTTAGAAACTTGTGGTGTCTTAAGTATTCATTTATTTATTCAATCGTTTCTGCCACATCAATTGCATTATGTTCAGCAGGAGCACACTTTTATTTTGAAATGTACTGCGACACGATGTTACCCTAATGCCTAGAAAAAACACGCATCGCAAAACAGCGCGAGGGCTTGCTTGACTGTCGTTTTCGAAGTGGAGGCTGGCTTGACTTCAGTTTAGAATCGAACTGATTACTGACAACGCATGTTGTCCTTGACCCAAAGGGCAAATGCAGCTACTTGTGAAATGAAAATACTCCTGCACACAGTGTCTAACCATGTGGTGATACATCATATACATTTACATTATTCAATCAATGTTTTGTTGACTTTTACAACCACGGTTGTTAGAAATAATATTCACTGTAATTCAGCTCAGCTATAATAACACTTCCCATATGGTATTATACATTTATACATACATACAAAAATACATAATCATAATACACTCATAATGATGTAATATTAGAGTATTTATTTGACAAACATCAAACATCTGATAATCAAGTAGTTGTATGATGATATGCTGTTTACCTTTCCGATATTTGTCCTGTGACCAACATGTAGGGACAGATCCGGTGAGTGGTTCGAACAGGACTAATACTACTGTCCAGTGGTGGGCTAGCCAGTAACAGCTGGTAGCTAGAGGAACAGTAACACTGGTTTCATTTAATGTATGGTGCCCTGGCATAGTGGAGCTTTAGTCAAGGTGGCTGGCGTTAACTGTCCGTATGTCATACATGTTAGGAATTTTAATTTTGTTCACTTCATGGTGAGTAACGAGTGTTGACACTAATTAACGGTGTTAGGATACGCGCAGCTAGGGGGGTTCTCGTGAAGGAAGTCAAGCGGTTAGCTAACGTTAGCATAGACAGATGCTATCTTTGAATAATATGAACAGTCCCGTTAGATTTGAGAACCATACTTTGTTTGTTTAAACCTACAGGAAAGTATCGACACACTGTTCTTGTCATGAGAAGACAAAGTTAAGACGAAAACCCGTGACTGCTAGCGTTGCTAATATTAGCTTTAAATTAATTTACTGGCAACTGTCATGAATTGGATTTTCTGTCCGGATGCAATAAGATGTTACATTACGCTATTTGCTTTTCACCAGTCAGGGAAACGTTAACCTCTGTTTCCCCCGTGTTTTTACAGGTTAAAACAAGTTCAAATAGCAACAATATTTGTTAGCGGAGCGGCTAATTTGGGAACACTGACTTCTACAGGCCAAAGACAATCCAGCGGTTTTCCTGATTTTCAAAGCGCCGTTGGAGACTCTGTTTGGGGCTGAAGTGCCACCCATCAACCCGCCACTGTGAACCTGGAAGAGCAACGCCGCCTTGTGACTAGCATCCAACATGACAGGTGGGCAACACCAAACTATTGTGCACCTGTCACAAGACATAATTGGGGCCCTGCAAAAGTTAAATGTAGGACAATGCAGAAGAAGTGGACTGCTGAGGAAATTAAAACTTTTTATATAAACCAAATCCTCAACTCCTCACTGCTGATTGTGAAAATGTGAGAGAAACTTTGCATCAGTGTTCCAGGTATGTGTGTGCTGTGTCTGTTGTTGCAGTGTGTTTGAATTTGCACAGAAATCACTTCATCAGACGTTTTACATGTGTTGGCATCCGCAGATGGCCACATTCCTTGAACCTCAAGACTGAACGGCTGTCCCACACTGCCCCTCTCTCCCTGCCTCCCTCCACCCTCCTCTCTCTGTGGTGGATAGTGAGGTCCATTGTGTCAGTGAGATGTTTATTAATGAGAGAGGCGCACACCGAGAGCAGAGCTGCTATTGAAGGACTAATCGCTAATCTCTTCGTTAATACGGTCAATCTGTCTATGTACTAACAGAAATTTCTCAGAAGCCTCAAGACAGGGACATACGAGTTGGCGTTCAGCAGGGACTCTTAGCGAATTAGTGAGTTTGATCGAGTGTGAAACTTTGCACAGAAGTTTGAGTTGGCTTTTCCGTTCAGGCTTTAATGTATGTGTGCACGTGTTTTTGGCGGCTGGGCAGTTGTGGATGCATGTGAGTGAGTTTAGCTTTTCCGCCAAGGAATTGTTTAACTGAGTTTTGTAATCCTACTTTTTAAAAGGTAAAACATTTTTTTACCAAAGAATTTGAGATTTCTAGAGACTTCTAGTGTCTAATGTTTTTGGGTTTGGTTAGGAGGTTTTCTGTGTCTGTGAAAGGAGTAGTGTGTGTTTGAGTGTGTGTGTGTGTTTTTGGGCTGTTGTGTGTTGTTTGCCTGCCATGCCCTTGCCTGCGCCTGATGTCCCGGCCTCTCAGAGGCTGGCACTGGACTGTCGTACCCTTCTGGATCATCGCATTGGAAAGGGTAAGCGACAACACCATCTCCTCTGTTCTCTCTCTGGCTCCTTCTCTGTTTCTAAGTTGTACATGCCGGGCATTAATTCACTGAAAAGTTGCTTTTCTCCATATATTTCCATGATGTTCGACAAAAATATGTCATGTCTTAAATGGAATGTACTGTTTGGGTTTTTTCCTGTCACATAAAATTGATTCAGCTTATTTCATAGTTTGTGGAGGGTTCTTGGGTTGGCCAACATCAAAAGGAATGTTGGCTGTGGTTGTTTCTTGGCACCGGTTGCTGTTGAACAGTGTTGACTTATTAAAGTTAAATTTCATACATTTTCATTCTGGGTCTTTTTTTATTTATTATTTTCTACCTTTTAATGTTGACTAATTCATAAAACCTTACATTAGTAAATGCTCTCTGTTGGATAAGAGGACTGTTTGTTCTTCCATCAGAAAGAGATGCATATAGATCCACAGGGAATATACAGCATGTGAGGGGAAAAAAAGGAAAAAGCTTGATTGTAAATAACTATAATGATTTTATATATATATATATAATAATGATTATTCAAGTCAAGTAAAAAAAATTAAAGTGACAGTGTAGAGTGTCACAAATATACCAGTGGCTGATAGTATCATATGGTATAAGGACAGGGCCTAAAGATGAACAACTATGTCTGAATCTGTTTTTTTATAATTTCCCCTACTAAGACCAATTCGCCACCTCTTTAATTCATTGAACCAGTGCTGATGTAGCCCACTCTCTTCTCCTTGTGCAGTCAGTGACAGCTAAACATTTTTGGTAATTGCAACTCTTTTTTTAAGTGCTGAAAGTCAGTCTCTGATATGCATGCAGTGTTCTCTGTAAACTGATGTTTGGAAGAATGGAAAAAATGTGAACCTAAAAAGGTTGAGTAGGCATTCATTTTTTTTCAAGCACTCGTTCATGCTTTTACAAGGACACTGCAGCATCATTAGGTTGATGGTTTCACCACAAACTTGTACATAAGAGCAAATTATGTGAACATCATATCTGGTTTTACGTTTGTCACAGTTGAGGCTGTGTAATAACGTAGATAAAAGCATGATTTGATTTGAAGGACTTGCATTCATGTGCAGGTGAGAAGCTCTGCCATCTGAGAGGGGTGAGCCAGCTACTGAACAGTAGTTTATTTATGCACTGTGGTTTTGGAAAAATAAACCTGGAAGAGAATGAGTAAACAGTGCCATTGAAAAGGATCATATTTCACAGTGTTGCGTTTCCACTGCTTTTTAAAAATGCAAATGCCAGTAAACATGGTTATGTAATTATACATTTTACTGTAATTTATTTGCATTTAAAGTGACTCCTAAAAAGGATTGGCTGGTATGTTTGAGGTATCTACCAGGCAGCCATTGTGGACGTTACAGCAAAAAGTTTATTTCCAACCCTGACAAAATGAAGAAAGGGGAAAAGACGGACATTTTGGTATTAGGCTAAAAGGAAATGTTGTAGAAGTTGCATAAGCATGGAAGGAAAAACTAAAAGTAAGTAAAGCAAGAGGTTTGTGAAGACTAATGATGGAGAGAGTGATGCTGGCAGGGTGGAGAGAGGGAGAAAAGATTGCGTGGGTGGGAGGTCTTCTCCCTTTCTATCCCTGTGGTGTACATTTCTCTCTTACTCTCTCTCACCCCCCCCCCCCCCTCTCTGTTTCTTTCTGTGCAACTGAGAGAAGTGAGGTGGATGTGTTTGTATGTGCGCCCGCATGTGAAAACTGCACTACCCCCATTGAGAAGGAGCACTGTTGCAGAAGACAAACAGGAAAATCCAAGGTCATCACGGCACGCTTCTGACGTTGCCTCTCAGCCCCCTTTTGTGCGCGTGTGTACAAGCCTGCTTGTGTGTGTGTCTGCGCGGCAGGGAGAGTGTGTGTAATTCATTGCATCAAGCTCGGCTCTGCACCAATCACGGTGCGCATTTTAGCTCCAAGCACACGTGCAGGCATTTATCCCAGAGTGTGTGTGTGTTTGTGTGCGTTCTCAGTGCCTCTCGGCACAGCAGTGTGTCCTGTTTGAGCGACTGACGCCGCATTAAGGAAACATAAACGTCTGTAGTGAGAGACTCCAACATCACGATCGATGTACGGTAAGAATAATAATCACTCTTCCTTTGTGCATTTGTGTGTGTGCGTTTAAGGCTGTGGGAGCATGAGAATTATGTGAGGAAGCCAACGATCAGCCGGTTTTTCTACATTCTGCAAACACGTTTCCTCTTAGCTGTCTTGTGAAACACCTTTTAGTGAGAGCTGCAGGTTGACGTCTCCTGATAGCGCTTTATGGGAACTTGGACTCTTGTTTGAGGATATGTGCTCTGTTAAATGACAGATTTAGCTTACGAGGAGACAACGAAGATTGAAGATGTTTATTTTTGGTAATACATACTGATTCTGTCTTACACTTTTTACTCACATTTACTCCTATATCATTTTTATTATAGCGACATTTAACATGGTAACATTGTATTCTCCGCACTTCTCTGTAACATAGTCAGCTTATTGTTGTTGTTATCTTTGTGATAGACTCTGTGAGATGTTGTGAAGCGGTTTAATTTTCTTGATTGTTCAATATTTTAGGTAGCAAATTATAAATCCATGCTTCCCTGACAACAGGTGAAGTAGTGTATGTGCTACTTTTCTGTAAAATGTATCATGAGAAAATGATCATTTACTGTAGCTCTGGTGTTGCTGGGACATGTTGACATTTGGTTCATTGATTAGCGCTAATTAAAAATGCAGTCAGCTTTGCTTTGAGTAGACTGTTGATGGAAAGAGACTTTGGTTTGTAGGCTAATGATTTATCAACACAGACAGTGCACGTTGGAAGCTCAGATAGGCTTCACTGTGCAGTGCCCTGGTGAGCCACTGCATGGAAATAGGACTCTGGGCTTGAGTCCCTCATAGCCCAGTTTTGGTGCCTGTTCGACTGTGATTCATAGTGTGTCGGATTGGCCTTGTGTCACAAAGATTTGTTGGCAGCTGGGTCTGTACATCAGTTTGTTGGTCGCATGATACCAGCCATGTCCGCTGCCACCCACACTTGATTGAATGTGTGCTTTGAATTTGACTTAGCACACATGGATTAATGGGTAGGAAAAAATGTATATACTGTACAAATGCTTCTGCAAAGAGTGTGTGTGCAGTGTTTCTGCCTGTCAGTAGCCTCAAGATACGTTCTCAATAGGTAGGACTCATGACAGAGAGAAGTGGAGGAGTGGACTGATGTTGTGGTTATATATGCAACAAATGTAAATAGCTGTCATCCCCTGCAGTGACAGAAATTCCCCCTTTCTTAACTCTTTGACAAGCTTTCCGTAATGCTATCAGCCTCTTCTCCACGAGACTCACCTCCTCTCCTCAGCTCATTGAGCGATAGCTTATGCGCATATTGGTTGGCTGATGAATCAGCCTCGCTCATTATTCTTTATTTGCTTACACTCTGCTCGTCTCTTGTCTTGCACTCTCTGCGTGTTTGTAGATTCTGCTGGCCGCTTGCATTTGACTGAGTGAGTCCATGATGTAAAGAGAGTTGTCCTTATTTGTTTGCTTATGTAAAAATAGCAGGACTTGGTCTGTCCCCCCCCCCCCCCCCCCCCCCCCCCCCCCCCTTATGTAATAACACCCCTGAAGGGCGACATGCTTTGTAACCATCATGAGAAGTGTCAAGTATTTTGCACAGGAATATATTAATATATACATCATGGAGATGGCTACAGAGTGTAGACCATAGACTGTCTAGAAAGATGTGCACGTTGCTGCTGTGACATCACCCATTGGTTTGTGGACTGCCGTTTTAAAGCCTCGAGTTTGTTATTTTGGCCGCCGCCATCTTGGTTTTTTGGAACCAGAAGTGACCATAGTGACCGAAAGGTTTGGTTAGTAAGGTGCATCTGTCATTCACATTAAGTGTGTTATTTATTGGGATGCTACAAACAGGCTAAAAACAAAATAAATGTAAATACTTCTTAGAGTCTTTTAATACAACCAAAAGCTGGATAAGGCAACCAAAATGTTATAGTTTACTTTATAAACACACTGTGACAGCATCAAAGTTCTAGTTAACAGTGCAGTGGATACGATTTGCCTGTATCCTAATTGTCGGGTCAGTAGCAACTTGTCAATTACAAGGTAGCCACACCCTAAAGCATCCCCTGCTTTATCGTCTATTTTCGTCAGAATGGAACTTTGACACGGTATTGAAGAAGACTTTAAACTAGCGATTGAGATCATAAATACATTAGGAAAGTGTTTACTGAGGTAATAAATAGAGTGAGAAGTAGGGTCATTTTGTCCTCGACTCGAATGCAGTTGGACTTCTTTTTGCAACCAGTGGAGTCGCCCCCTGCTGTCCATTAAAGAAGAATGCAGGTTTAAGGCAGTTCTGCATTGGCTTCACTTTTTACACCCGCTTGGTGTAGACGGTTTGCTTCTGTGTGTTGTATGCGTGTGGCCCTTAAAAACCAGTGCTTTGCATGACCCCAGGTGAAGGTGAGGTCTAAATGTGTATTGACTCTCTTGCAGGCACAACCATGCAAATATGCACACATTAAACACGCTCAGATGTGTTTAATATTCTCCTTGCAGGGCGCCAGGACTATATTTACTCCCTCTTATCAGTCACGTGACTTTGTGTACAACAGAGCGTCTTTGGGAGACAGCGGGTGCAGATATGACACATACATGATGTGTTGGGCTACTTGTCACACGCTACCTTGTGTGTTTTTGTAATTAGTTTGTTTATATTCCGTTTTGTCTCAGGTGTTAATGCAGAACTTTTTGGTTTGTGGTGTGCTTTTGTCCAGTGCTGATAATGTGTGGCCCACAGAGCAGTACTCCTGTTAACACTTGACTGTGTTTGTGGAAGCGTGTGGAGGATTTGTTAAAATCATGCAACATAACATATCTTCTTACAGCTATATATATATATTTTTTTGTTTGCCCCTATTTTACTCACTTCAGCAGGCAGTTTTTTCTCCCCTCTGTC